GTCAAGCGGCCATTTGAACTTGAAGACGCACTGAACGTAGTCTGCAGGTGGTCCGTACAACCTCGCGGTTTTCCGCCGTTCATGTTAGAACAAAACAAATACATTTGATGACCAGAAGTATCCGTGAATTCAATTTAAAGTGCTTTCCGCCCAAGCAATCGTGGTCGACGGCGTCTGGTTTTCCCTTTTCACGGCACATATCCACCTTCTCGGACGAACCGAGCACATGAAAACTGGCCTTCAAACCTTTCTCGACTCTTTTAGTACAGCCCCAGTCGTGGCGTTTTGACGAGAAGGCAGGTTTTTGTCAGGTTCCTTTCAAAACAACACAGGAATACACGTCTCGCATGGGGACTTCTGCCCACAGCCCCAGACCGGAAGTGCGACCGACGCACCACCACCGCGCCGTGACGTAACAGAGATGAGTTTGAGTATATCGAATTACTTGCTATATCGAACTGATCGTAGCATTTCCTGCTGTTCGTTATAAACGGGTTTGACTCTAGTTTTAATTGTTGTGAGAAAAACCTTCCGTTTTATAGTCTTACTGGCTAGTTTTGTCAATCGCATTTATTTATTAATCCCATAAGCATTCTTTTTTTATTCTAGTCAGTTATGCCTGTTTAGTAAGGGCTTCAAGCAGCGTATGTATGAGTAGAGGTGATATTTTGAAATTTTCATTATTGCACTTTTGTAATTTTATCAGATGGAGTAGATTTGTACTTCGTGAATTCATTTGTTTGCTAAACTGGGGCTTGGAACATTTGTATTTCCTATTAATAAAAAGTGTAGTCAGTAAGGATTGGGCCTTATTTCAAACCATACTATTATATTTTGTTATTACTTAATTTCAGTAGTCTTATGGAACTTGTGATTTAGGCTGTTAAATAGACACAACGCTTTGTTCTTGAGGCTTAAAAAATCACTGACACCCCAAAGATCTTACACCCCAAAGATCTTTTTTTTTTCTTTGTCTGAAACGATGAAAGTTGTAGTCATAGACATGCAAAAAAAAAATACCACAACGCAGAGCAAACTTTCCTTACGCTTGCGCATGCCTTTTTATTTAAGCGGAGCGGTTAAGGGCTAAGTTCCCCAGAATCGTGTCCGTGTATGTCGACACAAACCCACCTGGACAGCTACCGCCATCTATAAGCGACGGCGGCAAGCACACAACCAGTATAATTTCCGCCGTCGCTCGTAGATGGCGGTAACTTTTCCAGCTATAATAGAAGAATGGATAGTTGGGCGCGTTGGTGGGAACTCATTGTAGGAAACAGCGCGAAAAACAGACGACGACGAAGAAGAAGCACACAGTGTATCGATATAGTGACTATAAGGGGTTCTGTGCCGAACAGAAAAGCGATAGCATGCCACTTGTTCATGACACCGGTGGCACCGGTACCCTGCGCCTGGTGCCATCGGGCGGCGCACAATGGCACCAAGCATAGAAGTGTGTCCTGCATGAGCACGCGGAGTACGAGACGCTTTCGTGCCCCGTGACGCTTCACGCCACGCCCCTTCGAGCAGAAATGCACCGGTATCCTGGCTACAGCGCCACTTTTTTGTCATAAAGCGGCGGCACGTGGAACTACCCATAAACGCAGAGTGCTCGGTACACCTACCCCTATAGCCACCATACTATCGAGTACAGCTCCGCTGGTCTTCCTTCTTCACGAGAGTGGAATGGCTGAATGTTTTTGTAGCGGGAGCTACACTGGCCGAGGTTGAGCAGTTTCGCGTGGCTCCCAAAGAGCCATGCTGCGCAAGCGCGAGGAGCATTGACGTCACACGGCGCACAGCTGGCGCGCCGGAGACGCTGCCGCCGCGCGCGCCTGGCCGGTCGGCGCATTCTAGAAAAGTGACGTCATAGACGCTGCAGACGCACTGGTGCCGCCGTGTGCCCAGCTGTGCGCCTCCGTTGCACAGTAGCCAAGTCTGACGCTGCACCGGAGCCGCTTGATAGCGCCTCTCATTTTGTGCGCATAAGCTCACGCTACGTATATCCTGGCATAGCCGAGCTAAGCCACCGCAATGTTTTTTGTTGCCCTTTCCCTACCGCTTCTCACCCCCTTGCTTCTTTTTATTCGTGAGGTCAATAATTATGAAATTTAGAAGCTTTGTAAGCAACAAAAAACGGCATTCGTAAGACATGTTTTTTAACGCACTTGCGAACACACTACGGCCCTTCTTTTTGAAATACCGAAAATTTGAACCCAGAGTGATATCGCTTCTTGGCTTTTTACGCTCCCTCGGAAAACATGGCGGCGCTCGGGGCATGTAGCACTGAGGATAATCGGCGAGTCGGGGAATCAGATGGAGTTCTTTTGTTTAGGTGCACGACGACCTCTCAGACTTCAAAAAGGAAATCATCAAACGGTCAAAACAACTGGGTTTGCCGTCTGTGTGCCGCAGTGCCGGTTGTGACTCTGCCGGGCAGCCTTTCACGCAGAACCAGCGCTGACGTGGCACATCACACCGCTCACAAAAGTCCACTGCGCATTCTTTCCCACCTCACACTGTTTCAAAGGATATGATATCATTGAAAGAGCCCTAAAAGAACTTCAAATTCGAAGGTAAAGAGTCATCTGCTCACAGCGATAGGCTTTCCATTGGAAAGCCATAAGATTAACCAACCTGCTGCCAGACCAGCTTTCAGTAGCTGCCATTCACATAAATTGCACTTTTGATATTTTCTTTTGATGCTATGGGCTGGACTTTTTGAAAGCGTAGTTGCTGACTGATTTTTCGGACGAGTCCGATTATTTGGACGCCGATTTTTTGGACACGTTTGATTATTCGGACGTTTTTGCTGAACCGTCACTTGCCCCATAGAGTTAATGTATAACATTGACCGATGTTTCGGACGTCGTAAAACTTATTGCTCAATATTTCGGACATAGTTTGCGTTATTTCCTTGGTTTGCAGAAACAAAACAGCCGCTGCGATAGTGCCACGAGCTTAGTCGCCGCCATTTTGGTTATTTTGATTTTGTCCTGTAGCCTCGATACCACGTCCTATGTAATGAACAAGCTGGGTTGAGGCTATAGTCGGTGAATGGAAAGCGCCGAATAAACAAGGACGAAGAAGGGGACAGAGACGAAGTGCTTCGTCTCTGTCCCCTCCTTCGTCCTTGTTTATTCGGCGCTTTCGATTCAATCATGTACCAACTAGCCCAGTTATCTATTTTGCTATAGTCGGGTTTTCCGGTTCCGCTATAGCCAACATGGCCGCCGTCTACCCATTCTTATGGTTCTACCAGTTTTTCTCGTGGTCCGTGTTTTTCAAGTGCGACCGCAAGAAGAGCGGCCGTTTGCCGTTTTGGGGTCTCTGAGCACGAAGGTTTTTTGCCGATAGGCTTAGTATTTAAGCGAGCTCAACTACCCAGAACGCAGTTTGCGGCTCAAAATTCGTTTTCTATCTGCTCGAATGGCCGGTTTAAGTCTCGCTCACTCTCTTCTCCGTGGTTATGTGCCCTTTTCTATGGTTTAGGCACAACCACCCAAAGATTATCAAAGTTGTGAGTCATGGAAGGCACACACTCAATACTAGAAATGGCCAAAAATATGATACCCATTTTTTGGAGCTTCTGAAAGCTGCAAATATTTTGATTGAAAAAAGTGAAAGGTGTTTACAACTCCCTGTTTCGCCGAATTAGTGCGCAGCTCTTGAGGAGGAGGAGGAGGGAAGGGTACAGAGGGTCACCTGTCTTTGGGATGGGGGTGGGGGGGATCACGTGACCTGGGGTGTGGTCACGTGACCCCCTCCCTAAGGTCTTGTGGGGGATCACGTTACCTTGGGGGGGGTCATGTGATTTTGCGGGTCACGTGACCCCCCAGACAAATTTTCCCGCTAAATCTAGCGGAAAAATTTTCCCGCTAGATCTAGCGGAAAATTTTGCTCGCTACATCTAGTGGAAACTGTTTCCGCTAGATTTAGCGGAAAATTTTTCCGCTAAATTTAGCGGGGAAATTTGTCCGTTAGATTTAGCGGGAAAAATTTTCCGCTAGATTTAGCTGGGAAAATTTTCCGCTAGATTTAGCGGGGACATTTTTTCGCTAGGTTTAGCAGGAAATCTTTTCCGATAGATTTAGCGGGGAAATTTTTCCGCTAGATTTAGCGTGGAAATTTTTCAGCTAAGTTTAGCGGGGAAAATATTTCGCTAGTCCGGTAGAATTAGCGGGGAAATTTTCCGCTAAATTTAGCGGGAAATATTTTCTGCTATATTTAGCGGGGAAATTTTTTTGTTAGATTGAGCTGGGAAATTTTTCTGCTAGATTTAGCGGGAAAATTTTTCCGCTAGACTTAGCGGGGAAATTTTCCCCCTAAGTTTAGCGGGGAAATTTTTCCACTAGACAGCGGGGAATTTTTCCGCTAGATTTGGCGAGAACATTTTTCCGCTAAATTTAGCGGGGAAATTTTTCCGCTAAGTTTAGCGGAGAAATTGTCCCGCTAGATTTAGCTGGGAAATTTTTTCGCTAGATTTAGCTGGGAAATTTTTCCGCTAGATTTGGCGGGGAAATTACCCATAATGCACCGCGCGGTTACGCCGACAGCGACGCCGCCCAAGCCGGAAACGGGCGCCTAAGAGCTGCACTCTAAAAAAAAGTTGTACAGCCACTTGACTTTTGGCATCTTCCTCCTCAGTCCAGTTTCGGTTTCGGGCAGTTGCGTTTTTTTACTTTATTAAAATTATATGTGACACTGTAGTTGATTGGGTAGTCTTCTGGCATCATAAGGATCGCCTAACAAAAAGATAAAATATTTTGGGAGTGTTACTGTTCTTTAATGAGGTCTCTCCGTCACACTTGAAGTTATTACGGTAACCGTCTAATTTTAAGGCAAAAACAGAAAAAAAACTTGACCGCTTGTCCGTGCTAACGATGTCACGTTGTGTACCGCTTTCCTGATGTTCGCCAGGGAAGTTTTCTTGCCTATACACCCTCCCTACGTGTGTTGCTTTGTGGGGCAGTTAACAGCAGGCAACCATTTGTTTTCAGCTGGCCAAGCCAACCACGGTGAACCTGATCTACGACGCTCGCAGTGGGATGTTGTTGTCTGCTGGTCAAGCGCCGCTGGTGCTCAGCACAAGCAGTATGTTGCTTTCACTTTTTGAACAGGCCAGAGATTCCTATATTCCGTTTCATTTTACATCTGGCCGAAGTGGATGCTACGAGCCGTCGGGGCCAATCCAAAGCCGTGCGAGTTTCCTGCGACCTTCGAGAGGGAGCACCGTGGGGCACGGAAAGCGTAGTCATGTGCTGTTTTTAAAGAGCTGGGATGGCTTGTGGCATCCTCTCCGGCCGGACATAGGATGAAACAAAGTGTGGTCTTGCTTGCGCTTATTTTGAAGCCAGTTCCTGCTCTATTTACTTGAATCTTCCAGGTTGTGTTCTAAGCAAGCTCAATGTAGCAATGCACTTTAGGACACATTCCGTGGCAGACATTTGTTAATCCCCGAATTATGATTTGTCCTCGTCGGTGTTGTTCGAGTCATCATAACTGCTACGTTGCCAAAGCATGTCGTCGTCCAACAAAATCTCCTGCACTTGCTCGGTGATCGCTCCGCACATCGCGGACCGGGATCGATCTCGCATTTCTGCGCCGTGTGTTGCAAGCTTGATCTCTGGAAAACACCCAAAAGTCGGCGCGTGGAAATTTTTTTTTGCCTTCACAGTTAAAGATCTTGTACCAGTTGCAGAAGCCACTGGCACATCACCCGCTCCGACATGTCAAAGTTGCATCCAGCAGTGCAGTTGTTAGTTGCTTCCTCATGAAGAATGGCTGTAAACGAGCGCCGAAACCCCACGCATGTCAATAGAGAGAAATGTGGCCTGGCACCCTCCAGCACGGTCGCGCAGTGTCCTTCAAACACGAATCGTTCAAACGAAGAACATGCGACCGTGCAAACGGGAGCTGATCCGACGTAACTCTTGCTACAACTGTCGCACCCCCCAAAGCCTCGGCGCAGCCGTTTGATTTGTGCGCCGATCACTGCAGTGTATTCTGCACATTCCGTGCCGATATGTGAACTGTAATACCTGTTTGCACAAGTAAAAAAATAAAAGGTGTTCCGTATTTTCCGGACTATAAGTTGCACATCTGTTATATTAAGCCGTTTTTGTGGACAAGTTGGTATATAAGTTGCGCTTTTAAGTCGCACTTCTTTGCATGGTACACGCGATGAGATTTTTTAGTTTTACGGGCATCGGTATTGGAAAATCTGAGTTTCGCACAGTCAGCTATATTGTACGTACTGCCTGACGCGCAACTTTGACGTCTAGACTCACGAAAAAGGCCCATAGCGCGGCGTCTGACAGGGGCAATCGAGTGTTTCGCAGCAAAAGGATGTAAAACGCACAAAATGAGAAGGTAGTCGGCTTTATTCAAGCAAACACATGCCGAACAAACGAAAGTTCAACGAGCCAGACACTCGTGAACTAAGCTTTGGACCACTAGACCTTTCCGCGGCTAAGTCGTGGAGACGACCTGAGCATCAACGCGCAGGCAGGTAGATGAATCTTGAAACACTTCTTTTGGTGCTGCTAAAAGATCAGCTAGCCACAATCCTTCCTGTGTGGCAACACGGCTGGAGCATGGCAGAAATAAAACTGCTGCTCGTACGGGAACTAAAAAAGATGTGAGAAAAATTCCTGCAATGCGTGTATACCAGCCCACTTACCTTTCAGTATTACTGGACTCTAGCAAAAGACTACGGAACCATGGCTGAATTAAGCAACATCGATCACATGCTGTAAAAGTTTTATCCTCACTGTCTTGCCTATCCAGATTAAGCCGGTTTGGGGAAACCATAAAATTTCTCACTTTCCGAGTCAGTTATGACAACTGGAAGGGGCAACACCACCTATGGATACATAGTTACGGTGCTCTATGAAAGATGGCACGCGGCACAGAAAAAAATGGTGCATACCATGAATTAAAAAATAAATAAAAAATAAAAAAAACACATACAAGTTGCATTCTTGTATAAAACTCACCAAGAAAAATGTCTGAAAAAAACCGCAACTTATACACCGAAAAATACAATACTTGTAAAACGAGCGCACAGAAGGACGTAATGCTGCAGGTATAGCCGGCTGAGCCAGTGGTGCTTGTAATGAACTGAGGTGTTTTTCCGTTATCACTGCAGTTTCTGCTTGGTCGGTAGTGGGATGCTTTCAATTTTAAAAAAATTGAAAAATGGGTCTACCTACATTCGTGTAAACACGGTAGTTACCCTGGGTCTGTTCAACTTGGCACTTCGTTCTGGCTTTCAGCCTACAATTTTTCAATCTTTTTCGGTTCTGGGACGGGATTATCTTGCGGGCTCAAACTTCTTAAATCCCACGAGTGTTTTTTTTTTGTTTTTTTTCTTCTTTCGTTTATTCATTATTTAAGCATAGCATTGGTATACGACCAAGCCAGACATTTGTACCTTACTCTGTAGCACATATTTTTTTCTTATCAAGGTTTGCAGTCTTTTAAACCGTTTCGTCGCGAAATTGCGAGCGCCCAGCTACCTCGGCCTTCGCTCGAGTAAGCTAGCTACTCTTGGAAATTAAAGTGTGTGAGAACTAGTGACGGACTGAAGTCCGGTTCCGCACATAAGTTTGGCACATGACAAACTTTTGAAGGAAAGTTAGGCAAAGATTCGGCAAAAGTTTGGCAGACGTCTGCACGCATGTGAGATTGCAACGGATCCATGGATTGTAAATGGATGCCGTGCGGTCACTATCGTACAGCGTAGTATTGTAGTACTACGAGCGGTTACGGCGAGGTGCAGAGTGGGTGACATGGTAACTGTGTGTTTGTCAGCCTTTGTGAGTGTGGTTCTTTTCAGTATGTTCTGCCTAGAAAACAGAAAATCAACCAGGAATTGACACAGTCCACTGCGCAAGTGACAAATTATGCTGTACATTCTGGATAGCATGTTTTACGTTTGATCTTTCTAGTTACGCAACGACGTAGTTGCAACATTGACTGACAAGTACTTTGAAGCACTCCTCGCAATTAGAGCAATCCTGTTTTCGGCTCACAAGTAGTTTGTGCCAAAACAAAACAATATTGCTTTGAAATGAGCATTATTTCGTGGTTTTCATCTATCCTCATAAAACTAGACGCAGAACTATCATGCTTGCCATTGCACGTCTGACATTCCAAACTGTTCCCATCTTCCTGAACATCCGCATGTGTCCCAACATCAAAAACCAGAAATTTAAAAATTAAAAACGAGACGTTGCATATGTGGGACACGCTTTCTTGCAAAGATGGCGTCAAGTGACTCAATTGGAAAGCATGCATATTTACAATAATATTGTTTTCTCTTCTGAAGTCTCAGCAGCTTGCAAAACGGTGACTCACAGAGAAAGTAAGAACAGTGTTACCGCCTTTATTTTAACAATGTACACACTTGCAGGCTTGCGCTGATGGGGCCTTAAAACCAAAACTCGCGTATCGTCGAACCTCGTTGTCACGCCACTTCTGCAAAAAGTCACTGTAAAATTGCCTGTAAGCACAGAAAAATGACACCGATACATTTATATTGTAGAATATCAATTTATTTAATAATAACTGTGTCAACAAGCATTAAAAAAAAAATCCTAAAATCTTTTTTTGGTCAAAAAAAAAAAAACTATATCATCTTTTAAGTCTGTTAACAATGTATCTTTGCCGAATCTTTAGAAACTTTCGGCAAAACTTGACCTTTGCAGAATTCTAAGATTCGGTGCCGAATTTTCGATTGGGCAAAAAATTGGCCCATCACTAGTGAGAACCTTAGCACAGGGGAGGGTCATTTCGTTGCTGAGCTGTAATCTTCTGTCTCCCATTGCCTCAGCAACCAAGGCGGTCGGCCCAACCATAACAACGGTGACCCCGGCAGGAGCGTCAGGACCCTGCGTGCCGGCCGGGCAGCCAGTGGCGGTCAAGCAGGTGGGTGGTCCCAAGTTGGCTCCAGGGGAAGGGACAGGGCAACCCGCTTGACGCCGCCGAACACCGAGGACAAATGATAGCAGGGGGCAGTCGTGGAAATTTCTTTAAGGGCCCTAAAATGCCCATCTTTTTTCGAATTTTGCAGTTTTGGCATTTCTAACCGAATGTTGCAGTTCCTTAATGAGCAATATAGCGAAATTCGGTAAACTACCGTGCCGTAATTACCGAGAAAATGAACATTTTCAATGGCTCCGCGGTGCGCTGAGGTGCGGCACGCTTTCAAAAGACGCGAGGAAAGCACCACGTTTTTTTATTTCGGTACGGTGCAGCTCTGCGCCCGTGAGGCCTGGCATGGCATTCATACACTTGCTGGGAAGGTTGTTTTTTAGGGGCGAAGCTCCTTAGGGGCTAGCCATGTCTGTGTGTTTGTCCGCCGTCGGGTGCATGTGCTCCTGCTCGTGAGCTCACACACTCACATGCTCATGAGCATGTGAGCACGTGCTCCCGTACTCGTGTAGGGCAAAAAAAAAAGACAACTGCACCTCCCCATGGTGAATGATGTTGATTGGGGCGAAGCTCTGGTGGTGCTTGTCTGCGTAGACGGTGAGCCGCAGCATGCCGAGCCTTTCGTTCATTTTCATCCATGTCAGAAAGAGAATGTGTGGTATGGAACGTGGTTATATACGCATTTGAGCATTTGACCGCAGCGTGACATGGATGTAAACGAACGAAAGGCTCGGCATGCTGCGGCTCAGCGTCTACTCAGACAAGCACCAACAGAACTTCGCCCCAATCAACATCATTCACCACGTATAGAGGCGTTTTTTTTTTTTTTTTACTTTTTATTTAAACAGCAAATACGGGTTAAAGGGATGCTGAACCGAAATCTGAATTCCACAAAACACGGCGGCCAAAGCGTGTAACGGGATGCTACAAACACCAAAACATCACTCGCACTGCGATATTTCGAACGGATGACCATATTTTTCTAAAAAAAGGAGGAGCATTTGGCAGATATGTCGACGTCTTGTTTCTCCGAGAAGAGTCGAGAAGGAGAGGGAACGGCCCTCGCGTCTTCTCTGCCTCGCCACCTTGAGGGGGCAAATCGAAAATGGAAGGAAACGAGATATCTTGATGTCGGTCGAGATATCAATCTCGACCTGTTTTTCCAAAAATACAGCCGTCCATTCGAGATATTGCCGTACAAGTAGTGTTGTACGGATTGTAGCGTCCCGCCTACAACTCCTGCATTGTTTTCTAAAATCCGAATTTCGGTTCACCGTCCCTTTAAAGGGGACTTGCAGAAATATTCCTCTGCCCAATGGAAACTCCTCCCTGCCCTCCTTTTTTCCCAGGCTGCTGTCTTTTTGCAAAGGGTCATAAAGCCTGCTGCTCATTTTGGGCTTTTCTAGGCTTATCCTCTCAAAGAAGCCGGTACAGAAATGGACCTTCCCCCGCCCTTGCCATCCAGCTAGACAAGAGGGAAAGGGCAAAAACGAGGGCGAGGACTTTCGGCCAGGCAGAAGAATATTTCTGCAGGTTCCCGGTTAAGGTTATGGAATGCCCAATGAAGATAGGGCACGACCACCATTCTTTTTTTTTTCAATGTTTTGGATAAACATGGGCAGAGTGACAAGGGCAATTATTGAGGCTTTTTAACGCAAAAGCATTAGCTGTCTCATGGAGCAAGCCGCCGTCATCAGCTTTGAAACCGTGCCAAACGGCATCTTAAATCCTTTCTCCAAGTGAAGCCAGCTCCCAGCTATGAAACCCCACGCAAAGCTAGCCAGTGGCGGCGAAATTCCCTGATCCCAAAGCAGCGGAATACAGCTGATGGATTTTCGGCTTCAGTCACATTGGCTGGCGCGCCTTGACGAGGCTCCCATTAGCCGGACACGCCGCACGATGAGGTGGCTGATCGTTGAAACTGACGCTGCGCATCAATTTCAACGACTGGCCACCTCATGGCTCTGCGTGTCCGTCAGCGCGCCAACACAAAACGTCCAAGGGGAGAGTGGTGAGGGGAGGCGCTCTTTCCTCGCCGGTAGAGCGGAGTGGAAGAATTATGTACGTGCTTTCGCATTCACAACTCATAAGAAGTGCTCAGGTGTACCTCTGAAGTTGGCGGGAGATGCGTCAACGAACCGTCTGTGGCCTTATCTGAAAAAGAATTTGGGTAGCTTCGATCAACTATGAAGGGCATTACATAGTCACTGATATGGTCTACCTTGACATAATATGCTGCTTGGTTGGCGCTTGTGTGGTGTCTATTTTTTCTGGTTAAGATGCTTCTTGTTTTCTTCCTCCTTTTTGTGTAATAAACAACAGCTGTTAGTTCAGTGCCGTCCTGTCGTGTGTGTTTCTTTATCCTTGTCCAAGTTTCTTGCTGATGTTCCTTCTCAAGATGTTCACTTCAAACCAACTAGCCCAACACGTCGCACTGTTGCTCTACAGAGTGGGATGAAATGCTCAATCTGCCCACTTTTTTTTGCATTTTTTTTATATAGCTTGGAATAGGGCCATAAACCAATTATGCTGTGCTTTATGAGCATGAATTGTGGAACCGCTCTGGCCCACGCGATAATCACACCTCCACTTCTAGACCACCACACTGCGTGTGCAGTCGCACGGCAAATGCACTTTCAAAAGCCAAGTGCTCGCGTTGGTAATGTTAGCCAGCGCTTGAGAGACGACTGGTGCTACTGGCAAGCTATGAAAGGGACCCGCCAGAGCGTTGGTGTGGCCCCTCGTAGCCTAAAGCGCGGCTTGACAGTGCTCTCCCTTTGGCAGGTGCAGGGACCCCCCCAGGGCACGGTGGCGGCGCGTCCGATCCCGCTGATCACGGGGGGCACGGCGCCGGTGACGGCCAACTCGCTGCTCATGGTGAAGGTGATGCCCAGCAAGCTGCTGCCGGGCAAGGCGCTCCAGGAGAAGGCCCAGCAGCTGGGTACGGGGCCCCGGCCCCAGGGAGGAGCCCCCGAGGGGGCACCCCCCGAGGGCCCCCCCGCCAGTAACAACAACAATGTCTACCTCTGCTTCGTGTAGAGGCCCAGTTCCGCAGAATAGTGGAGGGTCGCGACCCGGTGCCCTGGCTGGTGGAGCGTGGGGTGGTCAGGACAGACTTGCCCTGCAAGTTCTGTCAGGACAAGGGGCTCGAGCTCCAGCGCGACCCTGGGGCGCTCAACGGCTACAGCTTGTGCTGCCGCCAGGCCAGGTGGGTCAACGCCCCTTCTGGGCCCCGCCGCGCGGGCTGAAGTCCCTTCCTTTTGCGACCCTCACTAAACTGCCCGCCCGTCGGGCCTCGGGATTGCGGTCGCGTTTCCCCACCGAGACGAAACATAGTCGTCACGCTGCGGTCGTATTGTTGCTGGGTGAATGGCAACGTCCAGGCGACATTTGCTGTTCGCCCTGCCCTGGGCAATCACCTTGCTTCTTCTGAAGGCTCGGTGGCATGAACCAGCTGTAGGGTTTATTGATATGCCTGTCTAGGCCCTCATGCACAGGCCAGCTTTCTGCAACACTTTCGGTTCATTTGGGAGCATTTGCAGAGTGTGCTGCAATCGCACGTGCCCACGGCACCTTGGGTACTTTTGTTTTCACCGTTTCTTTTTTTTTCTGCATTTCTTTTTGTTTGGGCTGTCTAAATGATGGAAACTCTACATACGGACTCGTTTCTGCTTTCTTTTGTGGATTGCATAGACTTCTATAAAGAATTCATATCTTATTGAGACGCTGAAAAAGTCAGTTTTCTTACTAAAAAATTAATTTCAATTGGTTTTTTAGTCGGATGTTTTGCTCTACTGCCGTAAGTCACTTGATTCTGCAGTACATCTGAGTTCTTTTTTTTTATTAAATAGTACTTTTTTACTAACTTAAAGAGATATAAGAATTGTTCATGAGTAAACTTGTTTGTCTATTTGTTTCTCTTTTTTTCTTTCTCAGTAGTCCTCTATTGCTTTCATTTGTCCGTTTCAGGCTTACTGCCACCGCCATTTAAATATAGGTTAGGCCTACCTGGGTTGCCTTTGAGGAATTTTGAGGTTGTTGATTTTGAGGTGTTGTGTCAACCATCCCCAGTACCTTAGTGGACCCTCAAATAGTTTTCAATACATTGCCAGCTCTATGTGCCGCAAGCTGTGCAAATCAAACTGTATCACAGTAGCTTCCATGTACTGAAGTGTACTCAAATGTACTAGCTTAATTTTATGACATAATACCATAAAAAGATGAAATCTGGGAGAGAAGAGTAACTGGTTCATCCTTGGCAATAGAGACAAGGTAATAAAATCAAAGCTTATGGTCTACTGAGGGCTCGTTTTTTGTACAAAGGTTTAAAACTAGTTTTGAGCCTTCTGTTTTACAATGTTAGGTTTTTCTGTGGCTTTATTTTCCATTTAGGGTGTATCATTCGAAGCTGACATTGATCTCTTTGGCATCTTGATCGTTCATTTTGTAATTTTTTGTGAAGACGATAATGGTGGTCGGCTGTTAGTTTCAGAATTTCATTGTACAGAACTAATTACTTGGGTCAAAAATAAAAACTATTAATTAATTTTTTTTTTTGTGGTGCACTGTTATGCTTAGTCTATTTCTTTCAAGCTAAGCATTGTAGGCTGCCTAGAAATTTGTTTTGATGAAACCATGGAGTAACTCAAAAGACTTGCCTATGTGGCTTTCTCAGCACCAATCTTTTGCTAAAACAGGAATCAGCAACCCTGTCTTTTTTTTTAATTATTTGCTGTGACAGGAATGGATATTTGTTCATGGGAAAGTGAGTTGTATCTGTATTTTCAATTCTTAGGGCACAGGTATCACACGCTTTTAAGTTTTAAAAACATCTATCACCTGGCTGCATCTTTTTGGGAACTTTCAACACGCACTGTCACGAGACTGACGTAGATGTGTGGTTCAGGTCGGTGCTTTCCCAATTATGAGTGTTGTCAAAAGTGTGTGACTTGTTTGCACATGATGTGACATTCCAGTGGAACTTCACATACTTGTGTGAAACTGTGTAGCCGTTTCTGAAAAGTTTAGCTTGGGTTGGATGGGAATCGCTTGTTCTGAACGGTGCCATGGGCAAGTACGGAGGTCATGCATTGTGAATCTGGTATTCCGTCAGGAGACTGGTTTCGGCGTGTGCATAATTTTGGGTCAGACCCTTACACTCTGTCATAGGTGTTCATAGAATTCAATGCACTATTTGCTTATGGGTCACTCTTATTATTCTGTCAATCCTGGAACATGTTTGCACACTGTGATCCCAAGCTTTAAGAAATATTTAAGTGTGTGCTATGAGGGTGCAATAAATGTAGCCCTTCAGTCAGTCTAGTACTGCTGTCAAACAGCAGTTCAAATAACATTTAGCGAAATGACATTTGAGCAATCGACGTATCAGCTTACAATCTTGGCTCTAAGCGTCGTGCACGACACACACTGATTTGCCGATTCATGGTATTTGGCTAAATGTCGTTTAGCGTTCGTATGTGATTGAGGTTTTATTTTTAGGCGTGCTTTCTGTTGCTAACTCTTTGTGTAAAGGGCATATTTTTATATATGTAAAGATGCTTTTCTTTATGTGTCTTGACACAGTTAGCTGTTGGTTAATGGTGCTGGCACTTTAGCCCAATGTCTTGTGTCATAACCACCACCACCTGAAGGATGTCGTGCTTCCCAAATGTTAAGTGTGAGCTGTTCTGTGTCACTTTCTGTTCGCAGCTGACCTGCAAAAATGACTCGTCTTTGTGCATATTACATAAAAGCTTTTTATGCTTTTCATTTTTATTTTGGAAGTTTAGCATTGAAGATGTTTTCTGAAACTTGCAAAGCAAGGGCTGCGGTTTCCTCGTTTATTGTGGGAAACTGTCGTTGAAAACGGCAATTAGAAAGGGTTGTTCAAAGCTAGTTTAAATGAAATGGTGGTATCCCCTTTGTTCATTGCCTGTTTTGTTTTAGTGTATTAATACCCTGTTGCATCTTATTTGTCAGGCATATTTAGGATGATGGATAGTTTACTTGTGCATGTTCACATGTATTGCTCTGTTCGTTTGCTTATTCCAAGGGATGAAAATGGATGTTGTGTGGCATGCAGTCAGAATTTGTATTGTTTTCCCGATGGTTTCACCCTGGAATTTCACGACTGTAAGCTAACGCCTAGGCGAGCCCAAAGAAATGCTGCTTCTGGCTTGTGCATCGCTGTGAACTATCCTAAAAAAATAAAAAATAAAAACGAAAAAAAAAAACTCCTTTGGAACCTTCCCACTTGGTTGCTGATGGAATAAAATTTTTGCAGTTTCCACTTCGAGTTTTGTGTTAATTCCTTCCTTTCCGCTTTTGTTGGGCGCCTAGCCAGCAAGGCCTTCCCGGCCTGGTGCCGTGTACCTATCAGCTTCGCAATTGGTCGCTAGCAGCAAAGATCAAAGATTAAACTCTCCTCGTAAGCGTGCCTTCCCAGAACAAGCATGCGTCTCCTTGGCAGAGCTTATGGTCGTGACATTAGTCATTGAATTTATTTTGTTTACTCACCAACATGGCTTAGTGAGACCAAAAGAATTTTGTCTCGTAGCAGCTTAGTGAATAGAAATTTTGGAGCCCCTTTACATCCCATGGCAGCACCTCATTTGCTCTTTTTTTATACAGTGTAATGAAACAAAAGCTAATACTTTGCTCTGAGATCGGGCTGTATAACCTGGAGGCAGATTCTGATGCTTCAAGACAATGCTGACATCACGAGCTTCCCAACAAACAACTCTGTGGTAGAGATGGAAAGCATTTAAAGTTCTGGCCCTCTCTGGAACAGAAACACTGTTACTGGGCTGAGGATGAAATGCCAAAGAAGCATTTGGTGTGTTGGGTGCTCTTACATCTCGGCTCTCATCTTGCACTGCACTCTCCTGCTGGTAGTAACACTGGCATTGAAGTGGCAAGACTTGTAGACACAAGTATCTATGCAGATTGTTCTTTCTCTCTTGTTTTCTCCACTTCTTAGTAGGGTCTCCCTAGGAGCAAGGCAGATTTAAAATTAATTGCAGAAAATGTTCGACTTGACAGAAAGATGTAACATTTCACATCAATGCACGTGGCAAATCTATTGCACCAAGCTTTTAGGAGTCCTCATGTTGCAGGCAAACTTTTAAACGAGAATTTGTTTTGACTAATGTATTGCCAAAAGATACCGATGATGCGTCCATGTCCATACAAGTGCCCACTATCAACTTTTACGGGTTTTGGACGCGGTGCAAAGTGCACATCATGTGCACAGCCCCCACGAAAGCTGTGTTTACTCTGACAAGTGTTTACAAATGGAAACAAAAGCCTGCTACCCCTTTCTTTTAAGGGCTCATGATTAACATCCATTCACTCCATGTTGCTCCTTTTTTTTTTCCTTGCCTCTAAACAAGTTTTTCAACGAGAGAAAAAAACTCCTCACTTCCATTGTACAACCGCTGAGCACTTTGAACCACATTTGCACAATACTTTAGTTAATGGGCTCTCGAACTGGGCTCCTAGGAACCCAGGGCCAGCTTGCCGGTGAATGTTGGTATCTATCCCGGCGGCAAAACTAGCCGCAAGAGATATTTTGAGGCCATGTGACGGGCTCCATGAGGTGGAAGCTCCTAGTATTCCAGCCGATTCCGCTCGGTGGACGTGAACCTTTCCTATCGTTCTCTTTCATTCCCACCCCCTCCCCAGAAACAATTTTAACTGCCGCACCTAAAGTACACAAATGCGATTCATTTTATTTCCATTTCAAGCCCATTCACCCCATTTCCGCATGCAAAACCATACTCGAATAATTGAAGCGAGGACAGAATTGTGGCAGCAGTTTGCCTGAAATGCTAAATACCTTTAGTTTCTGATCCCTTCGGAGGCGGTCACGGGACTTTGAAGTCCCTCTTGCAGCTACTTTAACCTCTGGAAGAGATATCTGCACTCGCCAACAAACCGGCCTACCCTGGTGGGCCTTCCAAGCTCCCAAACTTCCTTGACCATCCCTGCTTTTAAGTATAATTTTTTTCCAGTTTAGGCACTATTTCAGTGGATCCGAGCCCCCCATTGATGCGTAACCACGAACAAAAACACACTCTAGTTTGCGCATTATTGTTTAAAGGGCCTGTCCACCCATGCATTGCTTTATTGCACGAATGCCGAGAGCTGGAGGGATTCTTCGGCTTACAGTCGAGCCAGGTGGGGCTGATTTTGTTTTCTTTGAGAATTTATTTAAGGATTCCTGCTGGTTTTGGAGTCTTTTTCCATTGATTTATTTTTCATTTTAAAGGAAGGTTTTGAGATGAGTTATCAGAAAACATGTAAATAAAAAAAAATATAAAGACCTGCCACAGGAATTTGAGACACGGATGGGAAAAAACAATGTTTCGGGCGGGCGCATTTGTTAAGTTATGGGGCACCACACGTGGGGCCTACGATTTTCTGGATAATCGACCTCGGCCTCACGGGGGATTACTATAACACAGTTTCTGTTTTTGCTTATTTTTTAACGAACAAGCTTGCAAAATATCTTCCTTTGTCTCAAAGGTGTTTTTTGGGGGGCACCAGTTTGCTTATTGCTATTTGGATCGCTGAATTTTTAGTATACACATCTCCAGTATTTTACGGCAGGTAGAGCAGTGGGAAATATGAAATGTGCTAGCATAAACCGAAATTTCTTTGAGACAATGAGTTTGAGAAAAACATTGGCTCTTCAACTTTAAAATAACAAATCCTCTGCTCGAATTAAGTAACCTCATACGAACATAGGCACGTTTATCTGGGTGCACCAATTTATGCAAATGATAGGCAGCTTGCAACCCCCTTAATGCACACTCTGTAGTAATGCGCCTTCCATCTTGTTTGGTGCTACGATTTGAAACACGAAAATATACCAGATTGTAGAGGCTCACTGAATCGAGTTTCACGAGTGGTTAATTGAATGTGTCCAAATTGTTAGAAAACTAGACTAAACCAGGAGTGTACAATCTGTGAGTCTCGGTCGAATGCTGGCGCAACAAAATTGGCCCTCCGGCCTCGTCTACAAGGTGTTGCCCCGTCCTTCTTGCATAGGGCAGGAGAGAGGGCTGCACGTGAAGCAGGAAGCTCGGCCGATACATTTGATGCAAGTTTGAAAGTGTCGCCAACTGCTCGATTTCGGTCACGTGGTTTGTGGGCCGCATATCGCAACACAGGCTGCGAGGAGGAGGAGGAGGCGAAAGCGTCGCACGTTGCCCATCCTTTCTGCTTGCTACCCTTCTCGCCATTCGAAAACTTGAGCACGTACGGTGAACCTGCACAGCAAATGTCCGCCATTAAATGCAAACGCTCTCCAAGGTTTGAGTTGCTCTCCTCTCAAATTTATTCTTTCTGAGGAACACAACGCAAGAAAGCAATGATATTGTTCAGATATTTAAATTTTTTATAATTTAGTTCACATGATTGGCCATTTGGGGAGGCTGGAGGAGCCATTTTACAGTGACCTTGAGGTTACTTGGCACTGTTGCGATGGTAGCATTCTTTCATAAGGTATAAATAGATTCTCTTCCAAGTCCATCTTGTTTTAACAGTCTTGCTTCGTTCACTAGGTATGTTAGACGTCCACAAGATGCATTCTGTACTAGACGGTCGACGATTCTCCGAACTGGATGTTCACTTTGTTTAATTAGCGCAGAAACAGAATGCTGGGGCCCCTTCAGTATTTGCTGTGCTAAAAGGGAGTGTGAGGAGGCAGTCAGTCTGTTGCACTGGTGTGTCTGGTAGTGCCAAGTGTGAGTACTGTAGTGTGAAAGAGAGATTGCTTTAAAGCATTCCAGCGCAGCAAACCAATTGCATCATTGCACTTTTTCTTGCTACCATGGCCAACAAATGTAAAAGAGACAATGTTCAATTCTTCTGCTACATTCGGTACAGAAGCAGGACATATGATCTAACTACTTGTCACGTGCCTAGCTGTTTCAAAACATCTAGGTTCGGCTCTCACCCTCCTTGCACAAGGTCCAAATGTTGTTGCTGCAGATTTAATCATTTCTGGTCATGAAGTATAACTCAAGTGTTTACATTTCTGCTCCGAGTGAGTGCGTGCACACAACCTTAAGAAAGCATCTTGGACACACGCATGCACTCATATCCCCAGTGCAGCATCCTACAAGGCACGAGTGTTACAATTGGCATTGTACTGAATGTGTACATGTTGATTCCTCCAAAGCTTTCAGGGACTGTGCACTCATGCTCATAGTCGTGGCACTTTGCACGAGTCTGAAAACATTTTTGGGCTTAGTCTGGATTCCTCTTGGAAAGCGGTACAGTACTATGTTCGCTTTCAAGCTGACAGTGCGGGCCAGTCATACCTCTATATTTTGTTACTTGATCACGCTCCTGCGTATACCCACAAGCAGGGTTCTCCCCAGGAATTTCTGAGGGGTGGACATTACTGGGTAACCGGTAGAGGGGGGGAGGGGGAGGAGGGGAGGGGGGGAGGGGGAGGGAGAAGAAGAGGAGGGGAGGGGGGAGGGAGGGAGGAGGAAGGAGGAAGAAAAGGGGGGGGGGGGGGGGCACATTTGTCCTTTTTTTGTTTGTTTTTGGTTTGTTGCGTCTGTTTATTGCCCCCGGCACTGCCGGTGGCGCGCAGCTGAGCTAAAGAAATAAAAATAGAAACATGCCAAGCACCCGCGCTCTTTGATTGAGGCAGTGTGGGAGTAGCGGCAGTCAGAGATGCAATAGTGAACGATAACGTGGCGGTGCGCGGACCTGCTGCGTACGACGGCAACGGTCTGCAGCCGCGCAGGCAAACTCGCATCGCATCGTCATCCCGCGACATAAAACAAAAAAAAAGAATTAAGCGGTGGGTGGCCAGTTGGAGTGGTGGGCGGCCAGTTAGAGTGGTGGGCGGCCAGTCGGAGCGGTGGGCGGCAAAGCCACTGCCGCCCACCGTGGGGAGAACCCTGCCCAGAAGTGGAGAGTGGGATCAGGTAGTGGAGAGGATTGGTCCGGCAAGTGCATAGTTTTCACCTTACCGTCAGTTTACGGCTGAACGGAGTATGCACCATCTCGATTTTGGGACGTCTATGGCGGCGCTGCAGTCGGCACTTGCACGCACAGATGCTTCATCTCGTGCAAATCTGGTTTCTCCGACCATGCAGTGCCCACACTCAGTGTAAGCAAACGCAGGCTTGTTTGGAGTACAGGGGAGTGTTTCAGGAAAACCTTCTCCGTTAGAAACTTTACGAAACTTGAGTGAAATGCACGAACGGCATGAATGCCTCCTCGTCACGGCCCCTGTAATCCGGGTGCCTCGTCTCGTCTCGTCCCGTGCAGCTGTCAGCGCAAGAATGTGCTGCCCCAACCGAGCTTCTTTGCCCGCTTTGGCCTGCCCCTTTGGCGGGTGCTGGTGCTGGTGTACCACTGGGCGGTGCAGTCGGACGCCCCGCTGGCCATGCGGGAGACCGGCGTGGATTCCTTCCTGGTGCGCACGGTGTGGCGTGCCCTGCAGGAGGTGTGCGCCCGGGCGGTGGCCATCCAGCAGCCCCGGCTTGGCGGGCCCGGGGTGCGGGTGGAGGTGGCCACGGCCCAGATGGGGCGCTACCTTGTCCTGGCTGCTCTTGACCGCTCCACCATGGCCACTCGGCTCAAGGTGCGTCGGGGTCTCCCGCCGGCCTCTGCGCAAGCGGCGCCGAACCGTAAAACGAACCCTCTGTTTCTGGCTCTTTTCGAGTTGCATGCGGCGAGCAAGTTCGTGTGCCTTTCGTGCGGAGCTATGGCAACGCATTACGGTGCCAAGCTTGGAGTTACTGCAGTGACGTCTCTCAACCGGCAGGCCGTGTCGGTGGCCCTGGGCTGGCACTCGCCCATCTTCCTGAAGAGCCTGGAGCCCTGGCTGCGGCCGGGCAGCGTGGTGGTCACCGAGGACACCAAGTTTGAGGTGCTGCAGCAGCAGGGCTTTACGGTGCACTCGGGGCAGAGCGCCCCCCAGCCGGGGCCCGACCTGGTGCACGCCTACCTGAAGCGGCGCCTGACGGACCTGTTCGGCCGCCTGGTGGTGAACCAGCTCAAGCTGGAGACGGTCCAGGGCTTCCTGGACGAGCTGCAGTGGCGCGAGCGCTTCGGCGTGGATCCCAAGCAGTCCTTCTGGAGCATCATGACGGATCTGCTGGAGCACAGTGGGTGGAAAGGTGCGCCGGAGCTACTCTTTCTGGAACGCATCTCCGATTAGCGCGTTTAGTGTCCTATTCAAGGCCGGTTTGTGCGTACATCGCAGCACTAAATCAACACTAAAAACTGTGCCAACACAGCCCTGAAAAAAAACAAAAAAAAACATAGCACTTAGCACTTCTGCAATGTTGTCAGGCAGAAATCGAGAGACCCCCTTTGAGGACGCAGTAGACGCACGAGTTGGAGACACATTCCAGGCATTGTTCCAGAGCTCCTCTTCGTGCTCCGGCACGTTTTCAAGGCCGCCTTCAATCGAAGCATGAGTTGACCGCGCGTCTTTTGTCGCAGTGTCATTTGATGACATGCTTGCCATGCCTGGAGCCATCCCAGTCCAGGCGTCCGAGATCTCTCCCACCGTTCCCAAGGCCGAGCCTGAAGTGATTGTTTGCGACAGCAGCTCGGAGGACGAGACCAGCTCCAGTGAAGACGACTGTCATGAGAAGAATGACTCCAAGGAAGAAGAAAAAGATGGAGTGCAAGTCGAGAAACAACAGCCAATTGGTAAGCCGTCCCCTGCTTACTTTATCAGTGTATTATTTTTTTTTTACCATTCATAATCATTAACTTACCTCATTGATGATAGTTAATTGAAACAACATACCGCAATCCCTCGTTATAACAAAGCCAACAGCAGGGCGAAAAAATTTGATATAAGCAGTAATTCGAAAAAAGCAATAGAGCCAAAAAAACACTGCCATCAGCCTACCAGGTGGACAAGAGCACTGAGGAACATTCTGACTGTATATTTAATCAAAGAAACCTTTGTTATGAACAACAAGCGGCTGCTTCACCAAGTAAAAAAAATAATTAAATGGAGTTTGTCGATAATTTCATCCAGGCATCAGTTCTCCTCGAACTGCTCCAGGCATCGCAAGAACACTGTCACCGCTGCTGCACTCCACTTTGTTTCGAAGCAGCCGTGGGATGTTTCGTGTGTCCACAGTCGTCGGCGTTTCCCCAAAAGTGCCTTTCCAACGTCGCTTCGTGTTTTTCTTGGCCGCACACAAGGTTTATCTGTGGCAGGAGCTACAACGAGAACGTCTGCACCGACAAGCACAAACGAATGAGTTATCCTCGGTGGCTTTGTCGACTTGTTTTCACACACTCCTGTAGAGACCATTGCAGCTCTGGGAATTGTGCGCCTGCTCAGAAGGCATGCTCGCGATGGAAAATCTGACGTGTGCAAAGCAGTTGGCGATCTTTCATCTTCAAGTCGCGGGCACTGATGAGGCAGGGCTGAGGAGGCAGGGCTCACGGACCCCTAGAATGCTTTTGTCTTTTAACTGATGAGGCAGGGCTCACGGACCCCTAGAATGCTTTTGTGGACCTCAAAGGGTCCACGGACACCTATTTGAGAGCCTTTGATCAACAGGAAAGTAGATGCGCAGCCCATGTTCATGTGCATCTGTGTTGCTCGAGTTAGCTGAGTCATTCCACGCCAAACGATCCAGGCCTAAGTTCGACCCTCACAAATTTGGTCCAAGAATATTGTATGTGTTACTGGTGATGTAAACCATTTTTTGTGAAATATTTTTTGCAATAACTTTTGGTTTGATACCATCTTGATTTTCGCAGGAAAAAAGCCAAAAGGTAAAAAACAATTAATATACCGTAATATCCCGAGTCATCGCCCACCCCCCTACCGCCTGAAATTCGTTAAGAAAGTGGGGTGGGCCATGTCTCGGTGGGTGAGCACAAACACTTGAAAAAAAGCGGAAAAAACCGCCTATTTTTCTCTGCGTATCTAGCGCTGATGCACAAGAGATACCTCAAACTCAAAACTCGATTTATTTTCATTGTTTTATAGAAAAAATGCTCACGAAAGAATATTTTACTATAGCGAAGTCCGTTGCTTGCATACGCGCTAGAAACACCGCCGATCTGCATATAGCGCGAACGTTTGTTCCGTGAAAGAATGTCACCATTATGTTCTCCTAGTTAGTAAAAAAAAAAAAAAAAAAAGTCTACAAGAAAATAAAAAAACCGACCAGGCGCAACGAGCGAGCGAGCGAGCGAGCGGACCAAAGAAGCGACCAAGAGCAATGCTGGGAAAGCGGGAAAGCCGGCGGTCGCGTTGGCAAATACTTTGGCGTCGGGCCAAGTCGGGCGCCTTGTCAATTGCAAGCTCTTGCGCAACTTGTTTGGTGCGTACATACGTGCGTCCGTGCACGGCGGGCTATCAATGCACGGTTGGGACGCTCTGCAAACGTCTGTGTAGGACGTTCCAGCAAAGCTTTATTTACGCTTTGGCTTTGCCTAAAATATTGCACAACCGCGCTCGCGACGGGCGGGAAGAAGGAGCAGGTTCGCGGTGACCTTACTTCGGCGGAGACAGACTTTGACCTAACACTCCGCGGTTACGTTAACAAACTCTTATTTTGTTATCTCCATCGTTTTCTTTTCGCACGGATACACGACCACTTCGGGGTCGCTCACGGAGGAAATGCGTAACCAAAAAGAAGTGTCTTTCCCTCCTTCGTTTTACTTTGTCACGGACGCCCTCCAACTGTAAGGTGCGCGACCGCGTCATTCGGGTAGGATGAGTGTTCGCGGATCGCAGAGTCCGCGCTGGGGTATTTGAAGGGGTGGGCGATGACTCGGTGTTTTTTCGGAAATCGATATTGGCCCAAACAATGGGGTGGGCGATGGCTCGGGGATGGGCGATGACTCGGGATATTACGGTATATATTTTTTTTTTTCAGACGAGACTGCAAAATAAAAGCTCTGTGCAATAGGTTAATATATTCTTGTAAATTATCTAGTATATTTTGTATTGCATTTCCAAGTGTTTTGAAGGGTCCAGATGCATTAAAAATGTCCTAAAAAGCTGATTTACCTTTTATGTTAAAAACAAGCTACCTTGTGAAGATTTAAAACTTATGTGTGTTAATACTAAGAGAAACAAAGTGTATTAAAAAAAACATTTTGGTAAAAAATTTGTTGCTGTGTTTCGTAAAATAAATGGACAATATTAAACACATAGCAAAATACTTGGTTTTAAAAACAAATATCATAAAGGTGGTCGGTTTAGAAATATGGATAGCCTAGAACAACACAAGAAACGAGCAGTTAGAAAAAAGTGTTCTTTTTCTATAAGTGAATAAATAGTTCTGGAATTTGGTCCATTGCCAGTATTAAAAAGAATTGCGAAATATTCCATTTTCAAAGTAAAAACCAAAAGGTGTACAGTCTAAAACTGCATACATATTTTATGGTTATATGTAGTTAATAAATAAAAGTATTATTCTTTAAAAGCAAAAAATCTTTTCTTTTTTTTTTAATTTTGGTGTATTGCAAGCATTGAACAAATAGCATAAAACTCAGTTAGAAAAGAACAAGAAAAGAAACACAAGAAGGTGTTTGGTATAAAAATGCATACCTACTTAACAGTTGTAATTCAAAACAACAAAGAAACAAATTTTTAAAAATTCTTTTTTGTGTGTGATTTTACCGACTGATCAAGTGATCAGTCGGTAAAACACCATTCAAGGAGTGAAGTTACAGAACGTAAATGAAAGTACACAAGTGGAGGCGGGTTGGCAAGCCACAACACAGCCGGACATGCGGATGAACGCAACTATGTGAGTATAAATGAAAGTACACAAGCAGTGGCGGGTCGGCAAGCCACAATACAAAGTTGAAGATCGCGTCATGCAGCTGCACCGGCTTTGTACAATTTCTTTTTACGCTAGTGGACGCAACCACGGGATTGTAAACAGAAGTACACTAGCCGAGGCGGGTCGACAAGCCACAGCACGGTTGGAGATCGTACGATCGCGCCGCGCAGCCGCCCTGACTTTGCGCTATCTCTTTCCATGTGCAATAGTTCTGCCCATAAAGGGCGCCACAAAGAAGCAATAAATTAAGAGTACATTGTTTCTTTTTGGCAGAGGGAGCAAGTCTTACTTTTACCAGTGAAAACAGGTAGAAATAAATAACAAAAGGAATACTGGCAAACTGATGAACCGGAAAATCAAGTGGAAAATAACACGAGCCAGATATCGCCGATAGCCGAGGTGAGCCGTAAATCCATATCCAAATCTATAGCACCTTGGCTACTGTAATGACTACACTAAAAAAATAATGTGGAGAGGAAGGAATACACAATGTTTCGGGCGTCTGCCTGAAACGTCGTGATTTGTCGCGACGATGCACGTGCCAGTGCAAATCGTAGTCCTTCATCAAATCTATCGCAGCATTTGCGCCAGGACCAGTTCGCCAACTCCGCAATCCAGACATCATGGCAAGCGTAGGACAGACAGTGCTACCGCATGGAGATAACTTTTCAGTGCTTCATAAAAAAAAAAAGAAGGCACTTAGGTTGGCTTTTCGGGTTTGCCAAGCTTGAAACCATACTGCGCATTCCAAGGACAAAACAGGGAACTCGACCGTGGGTTAACACTAATCAGCGAGTTCTGCGCTATTTATAGTTTCTCAAGTATTAGAACAACTCAAATACTCTGAACAGCGAAAGTGTGAAGTGAATCGAATCGAAAAGCAAGCATTATTCGCGAAGTACTCGAAGTTTCGAATATTTGCACACCCCTAGTTACTACCAGTTGTTTGTGTGACACAGGTTGCATTTTTGCATGCTATCTAGACATGTACTGTTTTGTACGCTCTTAAAAGGGCGATGCAACAATTTTTGTAAGGGCGATGCAACAATTTTTGTACTTTGTGCAAATACCGCTTAAAACGGATCCCTGACGTTAATGACCTATGAAACATGCGTTCGTTTTTCACCCCACGCCAATAGAAGTTCCAGAAAAAAATTAAAGAAAAACGAACACCGTTCACCCCCTCAACTCGCAGCCAGAACAAGCGGCCCAGTGATCTGGAGCCGATTATATGCCGCCAATGTTGATCATAGCCACGCGCTGGGGTTGGCAAAGCACAGGACAAGCGCTGAGTTCCAGACATTGTTATGGCTCGGCTATTGTCGTCGTTTCAGCGATTGGACACGGGCCACTACCCGAATGCATGTCGAGGCATCGATTGTCACGAGCCCAGATCGAATGCGTACGCAGTCTTCGCGTCCACTGTGGGAGCAGCATTTGAATATCGTCACAGCTGGGATCGCAAAGCTCAATGACGCATTCCCGAGGATCGTACTGTTGCCATTGTCCCCAAGCTCTATCATCAAATTTCGCGAAGGAGCAAAAGGCGGCTTTGGAAGGAGGGACTGAAAGAAAAGCTCCGTTTTCATCCTTTGAATTCCATCGCGACAAAGACGCTTTTTGGTCAGTGGTGTTGCGTTCGAGTATTCTTGGGTCCCACTAGTGCCAGGAAGCTGGTGTAAAGTAAGACATATTCCTACCCAATGTCGTTGCAGAGCCCCTTTAATTTTGTCAATTTGTATAACTTATTAGTTGCACCCTTTGCCTGGTTTCATGTATGTACAGTTGACAGGTGATTACTGTGTATGATGTATAATGGCTATGTTACCAGTTGCATTGTATAATGGCTATTTTACAATGTATAATGGCTATGTTACCAGTTGCTTTGTTTATATGCTGCCTAGTCAGGTAGTTTTATTTACTTGAATTTGTTAACATCATTTTTGGTTTCAAAGATACCGTAATAAAAAAAAGTATGCTTATTTTTTTATTTTTTTTTATTTTTTAGTGGTACATTTAATTCGATATTCGAAGCTTTTTTTTTTTTCGAATATTCATATTTATTTACTAAAAACGTTTTTTATTTTGCAGTCTTATTTCAAACCGTTTAATCAAAGTTTTGTTTTTTATCCTTTGAGGCCTGTTCTTTGCAAAATTCAAAATGTTGTAAAAAAGAAAATTGTTAGTGCAAAAATATTTTGCAAAAGGTACTTCTACATCACCAATAGCACATACAATTTTTTTTAGACTGAATCCATAAGAGTTGAATTTAGGCCTGGATCGTTTGGCGTGGTACAGCTACTAATAGAGGCAGTGCAGAGGGTAAAATCATAAGAGCTGTCGCAGAATGGCTGACGAGAGCTTGGTGGCAGTCTAGTTTGTTGTTATATTTGATTCTGCTTTTATTTGTAACTTAGCTATTGACTTCTTTCCTCTTCGATTATCCTTGGTCTTCAAACCTGCAAAATATGAAGCTTGTAATGGTGAAGTCATTAGAGTGTATAGATTCATCAGTACTATGTGAGACATCTCTCAAATTCTTTAGTGTTCCTTTCTTTCCATGTTTGAAAATGTACAGTGGAGAGCTGCCTTGATATCTTTACTTCTTATATTAATCCCTTACCACCATTAATTACACGGGAATGTTTGTTCTGCAAAAAGTCGCTTGAGTTTGCACAAGAACTCTCGGCTTTGTTGGTGGATGTTCTAAGACTTTGTTGTCAAAACCGACGCAGAACTTTTGCGGAACAGCAACAAGCTGTTCCGCAAAAGAGTCTCTATCTAATCGGAGCAGATATGCAGCAAGCTCTCTCCCACAAAGTCGGAAGCCACGGCACAACGCACTCCGTGGTGCTTTGGAATCCCTATTTGGCCACTCGAGGGTTCACAGGAAAAGGACTGCTTCCCCTGGTTTCAGAAGCGCCGGCAGCGGGACCGGACGGGGAGACCAGCCCTTCTAAGAAAGCGGTCGTCCTGGACGAGTACTATTATGCAAGGAAGGGTCCCTGCTCGGAGGAGGGCCAGCTCTCGGAGACCAAAGGAAACTTTTCCTTCAAGGTACCTCTCCACTTTCAGGGGTTGCTGCCAGTGAGGCACTACCCCTCTGCCCAACCAGTCAGCACCATCCTTTTTTGTGCTGCATGCAGAACACAAAATTCTCCATCTACACTGTTGGTTCTCAAACTAGGTTCCTAGAAAGGCTCCCCAGAGCACTCTTGTGGGTTCCCCGAGAATTTCCTCGACCATCCATGCCCTGAAGCAAAGTGTTTTACCACTTTAAACGCTATGTTTAAAGTTCTAAGTCATTCAGTGATGCGTAGTAACTATCAACCAAACACCTCCTAGGAGTATGCGCATTATTGCCTCCAAGGTCTCTAGGCTTCTACCCTGCTTTATTGCATCATTGTCGAGACCGAGAGGGGTTTCTTGAGATCCCAAAGATTGAGAACCCCCGATCTGCACTATACTCTGTTTACCGATAAGTTGACAGGGCAGTGGAAGCGACGTGCCTCTTGGAGCCGTCGGTCGTCTGTCTTGCACCTTGCGGTCACAATTTCTGTGCATGCCATCACACAGAGAGTGGAGTCGGGCAACAAAAGGTGTAAAAGTGGTCGATTGGTCCAGCAAAAGGGAACACTGCTCTGTTGGGTTAGCGGTAAATGGAGTGTATAAGTGTTTGTAGAAATCACCTGTGCACAGTCTGTTCTTAAGATCTTAATGGCTGTAAAATGAGTGAGAAACCCTAATACTTGTGCCCAGCATGTTTAGACAGCCGGAAATTAGTCAACCTCAGTGGGCATCTGGTGTCTTTGCTGTAGATGAGAAATTTAGCCAGTGCCGTACCACTGCCAGCTTGGGGTCTTTAACAAGCATCACGCCAGTATGATGCTCATCCAGATTGAAACGGGCAGGAGTGGGTTTGAGTGCAAGATTCCTGGGTTTTACAAAAAGAATGCATATTCTGCAGTGGTTGTCATTGGTGCATTTGTTTTTTTCACTTATGGACACTCTATTTGACCGATTGGTCTGTTGAGTAGTTAGTGGTACGTATACCGTATTTACTCGCATAATGAACACACATTTTTTCCCCGAAAAATTTACACATGTCTGGGTGGGAGGGCGTTCAATACGCGGGGTAAAATTTTTGCATTTGCACGCTTCGTGCAAATGTCATATTAAGTGCTAATATGGCACGGCAAGGTACTGTGGCACGTCTCCACTGATGGAGGCGCACCCACGGCTTGTTGAGGGCGCGCCACAGTAACCATGCTTTATAAGTTTCAAACCTTTTTAGGGCGCTTTCAGTCTGCCTTTTTCAAAGGAAAAGCGCCCCACGAAGCTCACTCTGCACGGGGAGCAATGCGACCGTTCTTAGGCCTAACCTCGCTGTCCGGAAGTGGACCACAGATAATGGCGTGTTTGTTGACGTCAATGCATTCGGTAGGCAAAGAATGTTTGGAGCTGGGCAATTCCTCGACCCAAGCGTCCTCAAATGTGCGCGCTGCTCGGTTACACGGTTGATCACTTCCGCCAGTACGCACTTGCAGCCATTACGAGAGTGGTTTGGCTTGGCTCGACTTAGCCTGACCGATTGGCAGAAAAATAAAACTGGCTTGGTGGCTAGCTAGGTTGGACGCAATTTGAAAATTGCGGAGCTAAAAATTCAAGGAGCATTCATTATGCGAGGGGAAAAAAAAAAGTCCAAATATTGGTACCCGGGGGGGAGGGGGGGGGGGGTGCGTGCGTACATTTATTATGTGAGTAACTACTACTGATATGTTTTGCTTGGGGATGTTTCGTGCTAAAATTTTGTTACTTGGCTACCTAATTGGTAGTTGAGGCCAGGACACTGCTAGTACGTGCCACCTTTATATATTCCCGTTCAGCATAACTTGACAAATTGCAGAGGCTACCGCACTGGTGAGCCAGTTGAAGTGTTGCAGCAAGACAAGTGACAGTGGACAACTGGAGTGTGCTCCTCTTGGACTAAGCTGTTACGTGCTTCTCTTCATTGCTCTGATTGGCTCACATGGACGGCAGCTTTCTTTCTCAGAGAATTTACACTGGAACGAATACAACAGCTACTACAACTATGGATGTCTCTCGCATGTGTCAAAGGCTTTGCTTATGTTTTGGCTATGCTTTATCTTTCACGAGGTAAAACCAACGACACAAACACCTCTAAGGCAGATTTCAGCTCGCTGGCTAATGTTAGCTATTTGTTGCGACCCTTTTTTTTGGTGTTTGGGATGTTGGGGACACACTGCGTTATATCTCCTCTTTTGTATTTTGAGATTATGCTACTGAGTATTTATCAGAAATAGCTTGATGTTGATCAAAGTAATCTCATAATGCCTCCAAAATCTCAGGCTGGTATATATATTTTTTTGAAGCTTGGCTAATGATATTTTGAATAACTTCTACATAAAGTCATGATTTTCTGAAACCACACATTTCATAGGTCTTTTACGAAACAGCCCAGGAGGATGGGGTAGTTACTGCACCACTGAATGTAGTTGTTGTAATTACTTTATGTTGTCTCTCCTTCGCTTCAAAGTGCCCCATCTGCAAGAAGCTGATTGTGGACAACGTCAAGACGGTGAAGCACATCACGAACCACATAGAAGGGAGCCGGCAAAAGAACCCTGACCTCAGTGATCTCACCATCTGTAAATATTGCTTTAAAGAATTTGAAACTCCTTACAGCATGCAGTGCCATATGGAAGTGGTGAGTGCCCTTTCCCATCATCCTTTGATTAGGGCTGTTTCCAAACACCTAGTGTCAGCTACTTTTTTTTACTATTACATTAGCAAACCTGTCTCTTGAGAAGGGTACTAAGGACCAACAGGGAAGAAAAAAACTGCAGTGTTCACCAGCACAGGAATGAAGAGAAACAAATTCTGAGCACAAATTGTTAAATATAACCGGCGTCATATTTTATGCTATGTTGTCAAGGTAGCTTTCACGATGCTCCAGCTCTGTCAAAGCTATAGTTGTGCGAGCGAATGCGAACAGGATGCGAGACAAAGTCACGGGCTCTTACAGCAGTGCGGAGCTGCAGCACTGTGGGAGCATGCTAGCCTTGACAGTGTAGCACGAAATAGTTGGTGCCAAGTAAAAGGGTTATGTTGTTTCGGTAAATGCCAATAAATTTCGAAAATAAACCTCGAGACAGTTTTATTTAAAACTGGGGAAAACCAAGAAACATTGACATGGAGCTGTCCTCGAATGAAAAGAACTCAAGCTTCACAAGAAGAAAATTTTGTTTTCAGCTTTATTTCGTGTTCACCGGGAACACAGCCCGCACTGAACTGTTTACATGGATGTTCCTTTCTTTGAGAAAGACGCCCCTTGTGTCGATTACTTTTCGTATTGGTACCAAGACGTTTCCCAAGCATTTGAGATGCGTGCATGTTCCCTGGAGGTTGGAAAATTCCCTTCCTCCGTCCCATTTCCTTCGACATAAGCCCCAACAAAGGCCGATATTCTGTCCGACACTGAGAATTGTCACATAACACCGAATCTACGGGGAAAGATATATCCTGAAGATAGGAAGCCGTAGATATACCGTAATCATTTGGAAAACAAATTTTATGGGATCCTAGAAATACTAGGAGCAAGCTAAAACAAGAATATATGAAATGTAACAATATGTCGGCCAAGAGTTGTGGCTCTTTAACAAATTGGTAACTGTGGTACATGGAACCTGTGGGACATCTCTGGGTGACCTGAACGAAATTTAATAACTTGATAACTCCCATAGTTTTCTGACCCGACAGTCCTTTATCAAAGTAAGTGACGAGGCAAGGTGGCCTTGTCGAGTCAAGCTTACTTTAACCTTGAGCAATTTACTATTTTCTTTATTTGACTCAAGGTACCTTTTGTTCAATCGTCGGCGTTTTCTATGTTTTTGGTGCCTCTTAGGTGTGACCGCTTGTGTGGGATATTTTGCAGCCAATTTTGTCATGAATGGTACCTGAACTTTCCAGATGTGGTTGCAACAGCCTGCTTTTGAAAATCTACAAGTACTTTCTGATTTTATTTATCATTACAAAATGTCAATGAGTAGGGCTTGTAAGCTGACTATATTTGAAGACAAATTTAGGGGTAGTCTAGAACAGACTGTGCTGAATTTTGACGCACACACGACGATCAGCATGTGGAAGTGTGAAAAACAATGACAAAAAAAGGGTTGATATAAGTTGCAAGAAGATTGCAGGTGCATATCTATAACCACCCAAGCACACATGATTGTTCTTTCAAGTTGCATTGTATTGAACGAGCTTCTTGCTAGCTCATCTCTTCATGCCAAGTTTGTGTCATTGCAAAAATATTTATAGCGGTCACATTAGGTTATTTTTTGCCAAACTGATTCACATTCAATAGAGGATTTCTAAGGATCATCCGCTCCTTCTATATCTACATTGAGTAGTAATATATTTGCCTCCCTCAGAAAAACAAAAGTTGAACCTGAACTTTACTGGGAGAGACAGCTGTTCTTCCCAGTAAAGCAAATAAATGCAATGTGTTCACTTGTACTTGGGCACTTTGTCATGCTTAAAACAACATTTCTGTTTCCTTTCCAGGCTCATTTAAAAGATGACGGTATAGTGTGCCGCATCTGTAGCCAGGAGTTTGACTTGGTGCCTAGTCTCATCGACCACATGAAGCTCTATCACAACCCCTCAGAGATGCCATATTCTTGTCAGTTGTGTGGTTACCGCTCATCCTTTCACAAAGATGTTCTCAAACATTTCCATCAGGTAATTCCTAAGACTTCTTTGCTTAGCATTGGTGGCTTTGGTTGTGATGTGGTAGGAAGAAATGGTATCAGAAACCTTGTCGCTTGCCAGTGCTGTTTGGAAAGATGATTTTTCTCTCAGGGTTGACCTCTCCATCAGCTTAAAGCCAATCTGAAGTAAAGCCTTCTTTTTTTTTTTGAAGCAAGGTTGAGTATTTTAACTTAATCATATGTGATTTTACTCAAAAATGGTTTGTGGTTTAGAGCTCCAATGTTTAGTTGAAACAAAATGGTGCCAATGAGCAAAAACATTTAACTTTGAGGTTTTTAGCTGACCGCCTTAGGCACCAGCCATAAAGAATGTGTTCATCTTCACTGCTAATGGTTGAAGACACCTTCGGGTGTCCTTAACGATTATACTGTAAGAACCTCTGTCTATACTAAAATCCAGTTGCTGTGAGCAGGCACGTAGCCAGGATTTTGTTTGTGCAGGGGGAAGGAAGGGGCGGGGGGCCGCCGCCCATGACAAAATGCTGTACGAGGGGGAGGGGGGTAGAGGAGGCCCCAGCAAAACGGAAGATTTCAGGGAGCGGGGGGGCCGGGCCCCATGGCCCCCCCCCCTGGCTACATGCCTGGCTGTGAGGTGTCTGGGCCACCAAGCTGTGCTTCACAATTATACAAACATTTTGTTGCATTCAAACCATGTTTATACTTGTGTTTCATCTCAGAATGGGCATGGTAACTACACTTAGACAAATCTAATTTTGTTACCGTCACTCTTCTGTTCCGTTACCCTTCCTCTTTTCTTTCATTACTCTCGCTATTCTTGTTCCATTTGCATCTGACTGCAGCCAGGAACACCTGCATTCTGCACTTATTTTCTCATTTTTTTATGCATCATTACTTCACCGTGGGCTTGCAGTAATTCTGACAACGCTATAAGCAACGATTTCTCATAGGTGGTGCGTTTCACAGATATGATTATGGTTTCACAGATACTGAAAATCTTCAGTGTAGTTATGCGCAGTTTCAGGGTTATTCAAGAGACGGTGCCAGTGTGTGCCGCTGATTCGTGGTGTCTTCTCTCGTGGCAAGCGGTCGCTCGAGATCACAGTTTGCTCAGTCACAGTCAAACACAAATGTGTGAACCAGCTTTAATGCAGTGGTGGAACTGCTGCGCCATTTGCGCCAAACTGCGCCAGAACAAAAACCCTGCGACATGCTGCTCCAAAGGTTGTATTTGTGCACAATTTGTGCCATGTCTGTGCCAAAAGGGAGTTGTTCTCAAAAAGCAAACTGGAAGTGTCTGGCACGTGGCATTCTTGGCGATGCCACTGAAAATTAAGAAAGTATGGTTGTTGTTTTTTCGGATTCCTAAGTACTATGTGCGAGGAATAGGGCTGTGTGAATATTCGAATGATCAAATACTAGTTTCAAATTATACGCTTTTTGATATTCGCTTCAAAATTAACTGCAATATTCATACTTTTCGAACTGTTGATTGCAGCGGGTTAGCCCCTTTGAGTGCGCTTCTCCTTAAGCACCAATGCACTGCGGAGAAGCGATACCCGCGGAGCCGACACAGGGATCTCGCGACTCGCTTTGCCGCTGCGTAGCCGCGCACTTAGGCGAAAAACACACCTTTAAAGTGGTATAAAGCACGCACGCAACTGGTGTAAAAAAAAGAAAATAGAAAATGTGATTGGTGATATTTATATTGCAACAAAATCTTCAAAATTTAACTGTGGCTTTTACGCAAGGGTGTATATTAGGCAGCAATGTTTCAACAACCTGTGTTCATTACTTGTGCTTATTTTAATTCAGAGTTGAAGAAAATATTTTCATATAGCAATAAGATTTATAAATCCCCTCAATTAGGTATGGCAGGGCTCCCTTATAGGTTTAATCTTATGTCAAATCTGTAATTTACTTGCCATCCTAATGTAGGCATTGGACTGTCTATGGCTACAGTCTATAAATATAGCTAGATTAAATTTAACAGAGCTCATAAGTTGGCAATTAGAAGCTTGGGAATGACCTTTGCGAGTCCAGCTGAATTTTTATTTAGGCTTGGTGTAACAGTAGTGAAACGCATGGAGAAAGGTGCAGCAACTATTCAATATTCGATCAAAAAATATTTGGCCTAAACCACTACGTATTCATTTTGAATTTGCTTTGAGCCCAAAATTCATTATTTTCACGTGCCTAACGAAGAGTTGTCAGTTTTTGTGCCAACGGGGCTCACATCGATCACATGAATAGGTAGCGCTACTTGTTGTGATCAGTTAGAGTAGCTATGTGCTCTGCTTAGCTGCTCTAAGAACAGTAGCAGGTTGAATATGAGCGAGTGCAGAGTGAGACATATTCAGCACAAAAGTGTCCATTTGATGTCGAACTCGTAACAGTTACATCACCATGATGCAAACCCTACAAAGTTGTCGAAAACATCTTTTTTATGTCAAACACAAACTGAAGATGCCATCGTTACTTCTTATAAGTTAATGGAGACACCTGGAAAAAGAATGGTGTATGATTGTTCAATAAATAAATAAATATCTGTAGTGGCCAGGTCCCCTTTAGGTATGATACCTTAAATAGTCTCTCAACACTCTAACAGCTGAAGTTTCCACAGGCTAACTTTTAAAGAGATAGTATAAAATTTTTTGACATGAAAGCTCAAGATTGTTTGCTCCAAAAGTGCGAATCTCTGCTTCAAAACCCGTTCCCTGCTACAAGAGCTGCTCCATATCACCATTTGTCATTTCCACCATTGTTAATGTACTGCTGTCCCCCTTCACCCTCCTTTCAGGATCACCTAGGAAGCAATGCCCTGCTGTGCCGCTTCTGCCTGCGGGTGTATGTGGTGAAGTTCTCCAACAACCTGGCCAGCATTGGGGTGCAGAAGTTCTACTGCCACCTGTTCAAGCACTTGGCCCGTACCTCTGCCCGCCGCTGCCCCGTCTGCTGCCTCGTCTTCCTCAGCCAGGGTGACATGCGGGCACACAAGGACAAAGAGCATCTCTCCATGCAAGGCCAACCCGGTGAGGGAATGACCGCCCTCTCGGTCTACCGGGCCAAGACTTTGCCACTTGGGCTTCCAAGTTAGACGCTCGGCGAGAAAGTCGGCAAGATCACAAACTGCCGCGGTTGGCCGGCGCCATGATCAAACGCAGCACTGACCAATCACACTTGGACCTCCTGCGCTGTAGCAGTCAGAGTGTCTGCCTATGATTTGCTCTTTTTTTAGATGTCTTGTGAACCTTTGGGTGCCGTCGTAGCCAGTAGACTGATAAAGCCCCATGAAAAATAACAGGATTTTAAAGCGATGGCTTTATGGGTGACACTTTGCAGGGATTTTGGTGCTGGCGTTTGTTGTCTATCGTCGCAGCAGAGATGGAAAATCCCTTCGTTCCCCCCTCGTGGCGCGAGGAGAGAGAATTAGGGTGTCCCCGTTGATCGCACCGCACAAAGAAAAAAAAAGAGGAGAGCCCTGACGATCCGCCAACTACGGCACAACGGCAACGAAGCGTCAGCGGAGCGTCTTCACCTGTCGTCTGATAACTATAACTTCAAAACGGGTGTTCTCGAAAAATGCTCGCGTTGTATGAAATCCTACCTTGACAGTATCCAATCACTACGCGGAATGTTGAAGGGCTTTAGAAACTTCCACTGCGTTCAATTTCACTATAACATCTCTACTTTTCTAACCCAACTCGAAACCTAAATTATGTTCTGCAAAAACTTGCCGCCTTCCACCCGCCTTCCCCCAAACTTCGCCTCGTTTCTCTGCATGCGTCCCCCTTTCCGCTCATTGCCGAACGTCAACATCACCCCTCCCTCCACCGCTGAACAACACCGGGAAAGCCTGCCCCTTCACTTGCGTTGTCACCTCCAACGTCACCGCCGTGGCGCCTCTGCGCCACGGCCGTACTTCGTCTCAGGAGCGAGCGCGAAGAAAACGGCCAGCTTTCGCGGCTCGCGACCGGTGTCACGTCCACACTGACCACCAGTAAGAGGTGGGTGGTTAGTTTTCCCACTTTACCGAGCATCCAGTGTTCCACTTTGCCCCACTTCACCGATTACCGAGCATTCGCTGCAGTCGTCACTGGCATTCACAACGTCTACAGAGGGATCGGTGGCCAAGTGGGCTAGCGCACACCAGCTCGGAGTACATGGAGCGAAAGCTCGCACTGCAGAACCCAGGGATCCTGGGTTCAATCCCCACTCACGCCCGTTTCGATCTGGATGAGCATCGTATCGGCATGCGGTCGTGTACCACTACTGCGTTGTGCACATTAAAGACCCCAGGCTAGCGATTGTACTGCACTGGCTAAATTTCTGATCTACAGCGAGTGACTCATCGCAACTTTGAAATGGCTGACCAACTACACGCTGTCTAAATATCCACACAACCCCAATTATTATTACTATTCACGACGTCAACCACGACGGCAGTGCACATTAATCACTTTCCACCTGTGTCCTTTTGATGTGTGACAACATCATTTTTCCTCGCTTTTCTTCGAACGTGCTACATCTGTCACTTTTACTTCTTTGTACATTGTCGGTGAAAAAGCCACCCTTTTTTTTAAAATGATGACTTCATATCGAAATTCTCCACCGACTTCGCTTGCTCGCGTTGGTTTGACTGCAGCAGGCAAGGCCATGAGGGATAGCCTCAGCAAAAGAGTGCATCTCTGTTGCTGACACTCTCAATTTTTTTATGTTCTCCCATGTCTGGCACCCCTTTTTTTATCGTTTGACATCATAGCTTAAGCTGAGCCTCGGTAGGCCGCCGCTTTTGTTAAGTCTGTTAAGTTAATCTTTTCTGTTCCGAGGCATATTAAAGATGGCTGGAGCGCTTCTAAAAAATGTATGACCTCTATTATAGATTCCTTTTTGAAATTGTGTTTCATGTTGGGAAGTGTAGAATGACTGCATAGTGACGGACTCAAACATGAGTTCCTCACGTCCAATTGCGCTTCGGCTGCACAAGCCCTCGTGCGGCGGGAGTAAAAGTCGAAGCTACCCGCTTGCGGTACTCTTGCGTTCAGCGGTGTTGATTGGTGAAATAAATCTTAAATGCACCTAACAGCTATCGCTTCGCAAGTCTTCCGCTCGGCGCAGCGGTTGAGTTTTGGGCTCACAATCTGGGGGTGGCGGGTTCGACCCCGTTTGGAGGGCGTTCAGAATTTTTGTTCTTTCTTCTCAATTTATCCACCTTCCACTCTCCCCTTCATTCATTTTACGTTACAAGTTTTTAATTTTTCTGAGGTGGGCTCTCAAAAGATCTGCCATTGCACATAATACATGAACATGGAGGATACCTTTGCAAGTGACCACCCCACCCGCTCTCGCGTGCAGGAGTGGAGACGATACTGAGCGCCGATGCCAGCCCCATCCTGGTGCCCGAGCCCCACGTGAAGCCCCGCAAGCCGCTGCCGAGCACACTGGCCCCCGCAGCCAATCACCCGTCGGCGTGCCAGCCCAGGTTCTCGGTGCCGGCCGTCCACCTGGAGCCCCAGACCCTGCACTTGCTGTGCCTGGAGTGCCGCAAGCCCATCGACGAAGACCACTTCAAGTGCGTGGCTCCCGTCTTGTCCCCTTGCGCATTACAGTCGCCGGCGGTACGAGAATGGCGGGGCGCCTCTTGCGGGTGCCCGGCCTCGGGCACACGCTCGTTGCCCTCCGTCGTGCTTTGGCTGCCCGTGCTTGTTTGAGGCTCGCGAGGCGTCCAGGCGTCGTCGAAGGTGGTAAGCTCGTGCTGAAGGTGGGGCAGCTGAAGGACCGCCCTGCTGTTTTCATTCCGTCGGTGACAACGTACCAACTCTGAGTTTACAAACAAATAAAAAATGACCGCATCTCCACGTGGTGAATGATGTTGATTGGGGCGAAGCTCTGGTGGTGCTGATGATACTGATTTTATTATTCATAGGTAGTGCTGATTGTGCTGATTTTTTTTTATTGCTCATAGGTAGTGCTGAGTTCCGGGTTGCGTTTTGACTTCATTATTACTGCTTTATGGTCGATGAAATGCAGAGCCAGTGGTTTTTCTAGCGGATCAGCTTGGATCCGCTAGAAGCCGTGGGAACGCATATCCATAGCTTAAGTCAACGGCCCATGTCAGAAAGATAATGTGTGGTATGGAACGTGGTTATATACACAGTTGAGCATTTGATCGCAGCGCCCTCTCGTCTATAAACGTTGAGCCAATGCATGCAAAGTTTAACGCGATTATATACGCATTTGGCCACAGCTCCCGCTCCTGTATTGACATTTGAGCGGCTACATGCAACGTTTCATTCATGACATCCCCAGCTCTTGAGTTACTACCACATCTCAGAGCACCCTACTCGTCTCGCAGTCGTGGCCGAGTGGGTAAGGCGATGAAAAATCCATTGGGGTCTCCCCACACAGGTTCGAATCCTGTCGACTGTGCAAACTTTTTTTTTTATATGAGCACGGACGTCGGTCGGGCGGACGGACGGACAAGGCTAGACCCTAAGGAGCTTCGCGCCTAAAGAAAAGCCCACATTTGCCCGCGCCGGGTGTAGACCCCGTGCACGGACAGAAACCAGATTCACGCGAGACAAAGCATCTGGCCACGCGCAGCGCCGGCAGTAGCTCGATTGCGGTGGCGTAACGTCGGAGAGTTGAGTTGGCGTACAAGAGTGGCCTCGCGTAATGTGGCTGTCTTCCGAGTTCACAGGTTCCTGTAGCTCATGAGGGTGTTACCAGAATAAAGACTCTTTGCTGCGTGTTGAGCGACCGTTTACGAAAGCTTTTACGTCTCAAAACACGGCTGTTATGGTAGAGAAGGTTAGAAGCTCTGTTGTCACGAGGCCAGGGATAATTTCTGGAGGTATAGAAGCGAAAATGCCGACGAAAATGTCTCTGCTTGGATCGCGCTGTGACGACTATTGTCCTAGATCATTGTCCGTGGCCTACACACATCGTCAACAGAAACCATACGAAACTGCGGGTGTAAGAGTGCATTAATTCGAAATACTCTTATTATTTCTAAATACTCTTGTTATTCCTTGTGCCTCGTGTTGCAGTCGCTCGGTGCGATGCAGCCAGTGCAACTACAGCACCAACTGCACCAAGGCCTTTGCGGACCACATGATTTGCCGTCACTCGTCCCTGCCGAAGAGCCGCACCTCGCTGTTCCGCATCAGCCCCACCACCCTCAGGAGGCCAGGCATCTGCCCGTGCGGCTTCAGGTCCCTCGAAGGCAACATCCTGAGTGCGTGACCCACAGCTCTCCAATTCCATAGGCTCCTCCTTTTTTACAATGTGGCCTCGGCTAGTGTTGGTGGGAAGAAGGATGACAGAGGGACAGCGCAAACTGTGATCGACGAGAGATGAGGACTAATGCACTCGGCACGAAAGATGGAATGAAAAGATGGCACCCACTGTTCGGGGGGGTTTTATTTCTTGTCTACCAGGTAGTCTCTGTAGCTATGGAGCATGGTCTAGCGCAGGGGTTCTCAAGCAGGGCTCTGCGGAACGCAGTTGTTCCGCAAACTGGTCTCATGAGTCCCACAAGCACCCAAATTGCAGTGCCCACTGCCCCACCTAGTTTTACCTTCCACAGACTGAGCTATGGATTGAGTTGGTATTGCGAGCAAAGCAACCTGACCCTTCGCACTAATATGTATATATACAGGGTATTTCACGAAAAGTGGACAAATTCAATATTGCGAAGACTATGCGTCGTAACAAAAAAGGCTTGTGTCGTTTTGGTCCTAGGCTATTTAGAAAAATTATTAAAGTTTGGGATAATTAGATTATTACTTATTTTTGCGTTATTAATTTTTTTTAATATTGTGTTTAAGGGCCTGGTTTCAATTAGAAAATTGCTCAGCATCATCGAAAGACACTAAATCAACAAATTGCAAAACGATAGAAGGCACACGCAGCATTTTACGGATTTCTGAAACCCTGCACGAATTCGACGCAGCAGAAGTTGGTTGCACTATTTCTCCACGGGAGGCAGTGCCGTAGGGGCCGAGTTGCGCTCCAATTGCAAACCGAAACTTAAAAACTCGTTGAATTTGTGCGGTTTTTCAGAAAGCCCTAAATTGCTGCGTGCGCCTTCTATCGTTCTGCAATTTGTTGATTTAATGTTTTTCTATGAGGCTCAGCAAGATTCTAATTAAAACCATGCCCTTAAACACAATATTGAAGAAGTTAATTATCCGAAAATAATTAACAATCTAATTATTTTGACTTTAATCATTTTCCTTACTAGGCCACTGGCCCAGGACCAAAACGACACGGACCTTTCTTTGTTGCGACGTATAGTTTTTGCAACCTCGAATTTGTCCACCTTTCGTGAAACACACTGTATAGTTAACGTTTTGCCTCAGGCTAACCCCTCTGCCTTCTTATTCTATCTGTAGTGCTCCATTTTGTCTTATTTTGTCAGTGCAATACACTCATGTTCACTGTCTAAATGTCTTTATTGCCTATTATTATCGGATGGCAGCAAGGGAAGGGAGGAGGTTCCTTGGGTCTTTTTGAGGCATGCTGCGGCTCCCTGGGACTAAAAAGTTTGAGAACCCCTGGTCTAGCGTATTCATAGCAGAAAGACCAGCAGCAAAGGCTTTTATTTTGAGCCAGTGTCAGCAAAGGTGTATGACTCCTCAGACCTGCAGATGTGTGTGGCTATCTCGCGATGCGTCGCGCACTAATGGTTACAACTGGATTTACTTCATAGAACTGATTCTTGCGTTTGAGCCCATGCGCTCGGCCCATTGGCTATGTGGAGAGCAAGTTGTCTGCTTTTTGAGCAATGGTTACTGTGACGTCAGAACAATGCAGAGTTCTGATTGGCTTTGATTGGAAGAATAGTCGGTAGACCTCAATGCTAGATGGCTTGAGGTCTGGCCACTATTTTTTTCAATTAGCCAACAAGAGCTCGGCGTTCTGACATCATCGCAACCCTTCTGCATAAAGCAGGCGAATTTGCGCTCCGCATTACTTCATATTTGTTGAATATTTGGCACCATCTGTAGATGACATTCTCGTACATCGAAGGTTATTTATTTATTTAGTATAGTACCTCAAATTCCCCATAGAGGGGGTATCACGAGGAGGTTAATACATCGGAAGATGACTCATTTCATTCGCTGCTTCGAAATAGAATAATGTAACATAACCGAGAGTTACTGCATGGCCATTAGCCACTGCATTCATGTAATGCAAGCCTGCAACCCCGTTCCTTTCAACAGTTGCTCACATGCTGGAGTGCGACCACCCGACTGCCATTGTGACTGCCTGTGGTCCCACGACGAGGAGAATGAAGCCCAAGTGCTTGACGGGCAACTCCGCTAACTACTTCCCACCCCTCATCTCCCTGGACGACGAAGAGACCAACCTCAACGAGCCTTTTTCCGAGGTCTTTTCTTCGAGCGTTTCCAATGAATTTTCGGGAGCCCATCCTACTCTGCCCACCATCTCTACAGCCTTGCCTCCTCCTGTTGGTAAGTCAGTCAGTGAGCATCATTGATAATGCTCGATTGAGGCGGTGTGCACCCTTCGGGGCAGAAGCTTTTAATTTTCCAAAGCACCTTTTGAACCAGCAATCCCCAGAAATGCAGTTTTACATTTGCCAGTATTCATATACCATCACCACTTTGCCGTTAAGGCTATACATTGAAGGGGTGTGCTTTGTACCTGACTTCGAACAGCTCCATGCAAGCATCATCTCTCTGTGAATCTTTTGACAAGCGTGCATCTCGCGGGGATTACATTGACTGTGTCCGACGGAGCCAGATGCTGTTCTTGCAGCGCGTACCGAACAGAATGCGAAGCATTTGCCTCCCAAATTGGAAATACAGTAGACTCTCATTAATTCAAACTCCAGGAAGTCACAGATTTTAGTTTGAATTACCAGAAGTTTGAATTATCAGAAATTCATATAAATATGATACTAGACAACTTTATGACTTGTTACATGGATAGCTACGTATACAAAGCAGATTTTTGCCAGTTTCCTCTACATAGGCCTAATTATAAGCAAGTACAGGTATAACACATTGGTGAAAGAACTGTGACAATAAGTTTATTCATCCGGCAAAAAATTTGGCGATTGTGGACTGTTTAGTCAGTACATGAGATCTCAAAACAAAATTTTCAATACCAGCCAATGCAAGTAGCTCTTTACGGGACTCTTCCTTTGCAGACAGAAACTTCCGGAGCTGAGCGATGTGCTCAAAGGCCTTTGCGGCAGTGACAGTTGGTAGTGGGTCATCCCTTTCTTCATCATCATCTTCACTCTCACTGCTGCACTGTGCTGGCATTACTTCCTCATGTCCTCTAATGAGTCATCACAACAAACACGCAGATCATCGTCAAGACTAGCATATTCCACCAGCTCGGCATTCACATTATGTGCTTCAAGGCCAGAAAGCATGATGCCCGTGAGCTGTTCCTCATCCTCGATGTCGTCTTGGTCATCATTGCTAGTCTTGAAACACGTAATGTGAATGCCGTTTTCCGCTAATGTGTGCCTGCTTGAGCCCCGTTGAGTGCGCTTCTTTCCGAGCACCGGTGCATTGCGGAGAAGCAACACTCGCGAGAACAAGCTCCGCGGGTATTGCTTCTCTGCGGTGCACTGGTGCTCGGAAAGAAGCGCACTCAACGGAGCCGCGAGAACAAAAAACTATGAATTAAGCGAAAACGCCTTTCGAATTAAGCGGCTTATAAATGCATTAAAAACATAGCGGGACAACCAAAATTTTCAGATCTGTTTGAATTAACCGGAAGTACGAAATATTCGAGTTTGAATTATCGCGAGCCTACTTAAATGGCAAAAGACTCATTTTATTCTATCTCTTTAGGTGAATTGTACTTGGACCAGTAATGGTGAAATGGTTGATTTGCTGGGAAGTTGATTCTCCCTTCTCTAATGTTCAATCTTTAGACTTTTTAAGCCTAGCGCTTTTGCATATCATTTTATAGTTTATGTACTCATCCAGCAGGAGAATTTAAAAATGGTATATGTGTAAGATCCCATTCACAGTTCTTGAAGGACTGCAAAGTGTGCTCAATCTATTTCTCGGGGAAAGTATGGCAATGTCTCTTTAATATGTGGGCACCTCCATTACTCAAAATATTCTTTATAATGTGAACTGTCTGTAATAACGAAACGTCCCCCAAAACTTCTTTCCTATTGCGAGGTATCCATATTAACGGGGTCTGTCTTATTAAGACACGACTGCATCAGCCACTCAGATAGACATTACTGCTTGTTACCTCCGAGACACTCTGCGAGAGTTCTTCAAAGTATAGAAATCAATAGATTTGTCGAGAAGACGGGCAAGCCGGCTATAACTTAAAACCTTGTTTATTTATTGTGTTGTAGGTTTCAAGGTTCTAGAGCAGGGGTTCTCAAACTGGGTTCCGGTGAACACAGGGGTTCCACGAGCTGGTCTCTTGGGTTCCGCGAACACCCAAATTGCAACCCCCCCCAAACCGCAGGCTGCGCGGCAGGACCATGCCAAGCGCAATCATCTCACTTTGTACTGACATTGCGATTGATATGGTGGCGATATATGGGAAGCAACACAAGCAAGATTGCCTACAATTGTGCATCTCTTGCTTCTCGGTCGGCAAATATGGGGGGGGGGGAGAGTGTTCCGCGGCAGTTTTTGAGGCTTCCTGGGGTTCCGTGAGACCAAAAAGTTTGAGAACCCCTTTTCTAGAGAAATACTATAGTTAGAAAAATGGGACAGTTTAGCCAGTAGAATGCGGATAAACACCTAATACTAAGAGGAACGAACCCACGATGCACCCTTTCTGTCTGCCAGATTCTAAGAGATTTGACACAAGACTGCAAAGACGAAGTAAAAAAAAAAATTGCTCCAAAGACTTTTTTTTTTTTCTTTTACTTTCTTTTCTGTTGCAGTGGACCGAGACAGCCCGAGCATCCTCAACATGTTGGGGCTCATGCGCCGTCCATCCTTCTCCTCTTCCCACGAAGACACCAACGACGCGTGCAACAGCAGCATGGTGAACAACAACAGCAACAGCAGCAGCAGCATGCCGTTCCTGCCACAGCCGGCGGAGTGCTCCTCGGCGGGGCCCAAAAGTGCCGGGGAACGCCGGGCGGCCAAGGGCTTGCCGACGGGAACAGACTCGGACTCGGAACCACCCGTGCTCGAGCCGCAGAATGGCGCCGACGGCGGCCGCTGCGATGGCAACCACTTCTCAAACGAGGCTCCGAGCCTTGAGCCGGAGGTGGAGCTGGTGGAAGGGGAGGCCGTCTCGTCGGAGGACGGTTTTGCCGAGCAGCAGACGAGGACGACCTCCCCGGACGAGACGCTCGAAAAGGGAAGAGAGGAGGGGAGGAAGGTGAAAGAAAAGACATGGCCCAAGCTGGAGCCCTGCATTGTCCTCGACAGTACCGCCTGAGTTTTGTACAAGAAATAAAGTTGCAATATATTTTTCCAGCTTGTACGGCAAAGTTCCGACTGCACGGTTGCGCGTCTCGTTGGGATCATGAATTGCCGTCTGTAATGTTGCCGTATTCAGTGGCGTGCAAGCAGTCAAGTTGCGCGAATTTGGGAATAAATGGCTGCCATTTTCTAACGTGCTGAAATGACCGAGCGTGTAATGAAGTGAATGCGGGACGTTCCTCGATTTTCCTTCGAAATAATGAAATAAGATTGATTCTACTTCTCATTTGTGTGCAGCATCCATACTGGCGAGAAAAATGCCTCCCAAAATCGTGAATTTCTGCCTTTTGGGACAGAGCAGTATGATAAAGACATGGTGTTTTCACTTTGGTCAGCCACGTGTGGAGGACAGATATAGCGGTGTACTGATGCAACTGCATAAGTTACGTTTAATTGAGATGCAGCCAGCGGGAACGGGAGCGTTTTGTTCCTTTATGCGGTACAGCTTTCGTGCAGAAAGCATGCAGTATAGGTGAGTGACCATGCACTTCAGTTGTTTTAAGGTATGCCGCACGCGCATTCAAAATATTTGAGTTTGGGGAGCATACCCAAAAACGGCGAGACGTGGCAGAACTATCTTCATTGCCTCGTCTTGTGTGCGCTTGTTTGAATTATAAGGCAACAAGGTGGCGTGCTTATCCAGGATTATTTCGTCAGAACCCGCTCCTATTTTATGAAGTCGAAAATAAAACGAGCCTTAATCTAAAAATCGAGACACCCGCTCGTTCCTTTTTCATGCAATTTAAATGTTATTTAATTTGTTACTATGTGAAAATAAATAGAATAGTGTTTTCGAATACCTTTAATGTCCGTGAGGCTTTAATGAAGTAAACACACGGCAATCGCTTGAATTTGTTGCGCGTTTCAGAAACGAAACTGAAACCTTCTCAGAAGCCAAATCCGCCTTACTAGCCAATCACTGTCGATCCATAGCTTCCCGCGCAAAATATTTTGTGCGTGTTTATAATTTGTTTGGCTAGACGCGTTTCTATTGGCTGAAGGCAACCTAAACACAGTGACGTAGTTCAGGAAAGGATTTCATGGCGGAGGTTTACGGTTGTTCGTTTTTGCCTCAGTTTAAATCGGATTCATCAACAGTCACAAAAAGGTAAATACAGCTGTTCTTTTAACGTCTGCACTCTTGAAGCGTACGCTTTGCATACATATCTGTAGTTATGGTAACACTCTTAAAATTTCTTGGATGCGTTACAATTTCGAAAATGGAACGGTTTTCAACAAACCTACGTAATTGCGTTGTATTTTTTAACTGTTCGCTCAGATTTTCGCCGACCTCTTTATCCGAATTCGACGAACCAAATGCACGGACAGATTCTGAGGCCCGTTCCGTTTTCGAAGAGCAAATCTTTTGTTTGTTATTATTGATGCGAGCGAGGCTAGCGCACTCGTCTTGGAGATTTGCCGTGAAGCTGCAGGTTAGTTTGACCGTATATGCCTGTCACTTAAATACTCATCCGCAGCTTCACCGCTCGTTTCTTGATTCGATACGCGAGTAGTCTCTCACGGCAAACGAGGCCCGGATCACTTGGTTTTCCTGAGCAGCGTCGACGATGTTCGGGAATGTGCGCTCGCATTCGCCGCTGATTTGGGTCTACCTGCTGCTCGGGGCTGTTTTCGTCGCGGATTGCACTAATTATTCTTCGATTCCCTTTTGATCGCTTTCCGTCCCGCCTCGATGTCGCAGTCGTGAACGTAGCTGAAGGGCGCATCAACTGCTGCCGTAGATGTCGACTGGTCAGTGCATTGGAATGGCTAGAAACGCGGGGCAATGCGTACGCGAGCTTGCCCCCGTGGTGAGTGTCGGTCGGGTTCTAGCGTTTTTGATCTCGGCGATGCTCGTTTTTGCTGTTCGACTCTGTCTATGACTACTTGTCTATGTGGCCCCACTAGCGGTCACTGTTCACGCTGGGCACGCCGAGTGTAACAAGGTATCGCGCTCCCGCGGGCTGCAGCACCGCTACGCCTGTCATGCGCTCGCGGGGCCAGCCAGGTGACTCTCCCAAGCGGCGTCGTGGGCGAGTCCATTGGGAGGGGGAGGAGGGCGGAGCAACCGAGGCGGCGGCGCAGCATACGCGCAGCCGCCTGGCCGGTCCCTCGGGACGATTCCAATCGGTCGGTCCGTGTGTGTGTGGCGTTGCTGCTGGTGTTGCGGTGTCTAGTTTCTGGCGGCCGACCAGGTTTGTGTGTCTCCACGACGAAGCTTTTTCCGCTCAGAAAGTCTTCGAGCCCCCCGCCGACCGTCTTGCTTGTTAGGGAGAACGACGCAACCAGAGTGCGTGTGTGCGGCGGCCGATTGTGAATGTGCGTGGTGCTGCTCCCTCGCTGGGCGCGCTTCTTGGACTTTCCCCGTCTGTGCGTGCGTGCTGTGTCGGGAGCGTTGTGACGCGGCCATATTTGCTTGAAGAGGATGCACGGCGTTCGGCTGGTAAACTGTCATGGGCCCTGCGGCTGCTGCCTCGAAACACGGCTTGGTTTGCACCGAATGGTGAGCAGATCGGGCTCCTGCGCTTCTTGTACGCAACGACGTCTTGCGACGGGCTCTGGGCCCGAACGGACGCCGTTGGGGCCGAGGGCTTTGAAAACGGCCGCGCTTTTTTTTTTTCTTCTTGGAAACGCCAAACGTGCGTGGAACGTTTTGTTCGGCGATGAGCTAGGGGAGGCCAAACTTGCGATGTCCAGTCTCCCCTAGATGGTTTTTGTGCCGGTTGAATCGTGGCTTCCGGACGGGAACATTAGCGAGCAGTGGGAATGACCTTTCTGCGACTGGGTTGGGAGAGACGCGGCTGCCATTGGGAGCCAGCTGAGCGTCCTGCATGTGCCGACGTCTGCGCCGCGCAAGGTTTCGAACTGTCTGGCGTTGGAGTGGCCCTGGTGGCCTTTTGAAAAAAAAAAAAAAAAAAAAGCGTGAGGCGATCGCTAGCTCTTCTGTGTTTTTCTTTTCTTTCTCTTTCCAATCTTTTTGGCTTCGCTTGCGTGTTTCTTCTTTTTTTTTTTTGTGATTTCTTTTTATCCGTTTCGAGTGTTTGGCTTCTGCCTTCTCTCGTGTTATGCAAAAATGGACAGGAAAAAAATATATATATATGTTGTGATTATACCGCGGGAAGTGTCGGGGTTATCGGTGGCGCTCTTGTTGTCGGGTGGGTGAGCGAAGAGAAGACGAAAATCGCTGCGCGTACGACGCGCGATCGGGCTATAAGCAGGGCGTCTGGCCGGCCCGGCGAAAGTGGGACGGGTTCCCCCCTTCCCATGGGAGGGACGACGGGGCAACGGCGCGCTCGGCGACCGCTGGAGGACAAGTGCGGAAGGAGTCTTGGCCGGCCGCCGCCGTCAATAAATCAGCGTCCCGGTGTCGTTGACTCTCCACTCGCCTCAGGTGAACGTCGTCCGACTTGTTTTCAGTCGCAGCGTGCGCAGATCGCGAAAGCAAAAAGGGCTGGGCAGCTTGACGCCTGCGCAACGACAATGGGCCCGGAAAACAAGAATAGCGTCCACGTTACAAAGGCCTCGCTGTTTGCGCTTTCGAAGAACCTTAGTCGCTAGCCAAGAAGAACGCATTGCAAAGGCCATCCGATCGAATTTAGCTTTCGTGCTCCCTAATCGCTAAACCCTTTTTTATGGAGGGAGGGAGTGGGGGGAGGGTATGCAATGTCCTTTCGGTCAGGCTTCAGACAAAGTTTCGGTGTGACTTTTTGCACCTATTCCAGTTTCTTTGCACGTGGCAGATGTGGCAAAATGAAGTTATTGAAGCTCCATTTTGCTACATCTTGCTCCAATTCTGCACTGCATTATTGCTTGGTTTCATTTGTATTGGCATCGGAGGTTTCCTCAAGAATTGAGAAGTGTGTTACAATTATAATGCAATTAAATGCAAACGGGCAAGCGAGCTGGACAATAATGATGAAAATAATCCCTGGAGAAGGGGAACAAGAGGGACAAGGGACAAACATAAATCTCCAAACACAGCTAGGTGACCGGTGAGCGACCGAAAAAATCCGCCTGGTCCGGGTATCGAACCCGGGACCTCTCCATTACAAGTGGAGCGCTCTACCAACTGAGCTAACCAGGGGGTAGACGTCAGTAGAGCTAACGGGTTTTATCAGCTGCCACCAATCTAACACCAACAAGGGTGAAGCTTGCAATTTAATGTTATAATTATAATGCAATTAAATGCAAACGGGCAAGCGAGCTGGACAATAATGATGAAAATAATCCCTGGAGAGGGGAACAAGAGGGACAAGGGACAAACATAAATCTCCAAACACAGCTAGGTGACCGGTGAGGAGAGGTCCCGGGTTCGATACCCGGACCAGGCGGATTTTTTCGGTCGCTCACCGGTCACCTAGCTGTGTTTGGAGATTTATGTTTGTCCCTTGTCCCTCTTGTTCCCCTTCTCCAGGGATTATTTTCATCATTATTGTCCAGCTCGCTTGCCCGTTTGCATTTAATTGCATTATAATTATAACATTAAATTGCAAGCTTCACCCTTGTTGGTGTTAGATTGGTGGCAGCTGATAAAACCCGTTTGCTCTACTGACGTCTAACCCCTGGTTAGCTCAGTTGGTAGAGCGCTCCACTTGTAATGGAGAGGTCCCGGGTTCGATACCCGGACCAGGCGGATTTTTTCGGTCGCTCACCGGTCACCTAGCTGTGTTTGGAGATTTATGTTTGTCCCTTGTCCCTCTTGTTCCCCTTCTCCAGGGATTATTTTCATCACAAGTGTGTTACGATTGCTTTCAGCTCAATCCTTTTCATTGTTGAACAGCGGATTGAAGGAGAGCTCTTTTCTGGCTTAATGTTATTACTGTATGTGCATTTAGTTGACTCGCTGTTTCATGCTTTCAAATTTTCCATAGCAGTCTAGTCTATGCAATGTTGGTTCGGAAAATCTGTCGCTGGGAGTGCAGGCAGAAAAATACAGCAAACTATACTAATGAAGTTTCTGTTGCGTCAATGGTTGCGGGTGCGTATGCT